TACTTTAAAATGCTAATTTTTTTAAGTAACTCCACAGTCCATATAACACCTTTGTGGGAAAACATCTCCTGATCCTGACTAAGTTACGGCCAGGTACTACTGAATCAAGGCCCGTGTTATGTGATAATCTTGATTATCTTGTTACATGCCGTTTGAACCCTTTGTTTTCTGATTTGATTTTCTTTTACTATTCCGTCTTCCATTAATTATAAATTTCCCAGTTGAGCTCACGATCAGTTCTGCCTGAACTTTGTCACAGCCAGTAGCCACCGACTCAGTGAACAGGATTTGACTGTTCCATACCACGTTGCGAACAATAATTAGAAAAGAGCGCCGAATCGTTGGAGTTTGCCATCGAACACAATGTGAGCCATAAACACGAAGTCAGATTGTGTATCTCCATTCTCTTTTTTTTGACTATTTTCGGAAAATCTACCAATTTACAAAATCTGTTTATCAACGTCAGAAAGATTGAGAAAATAGTTAGTGTTGCGTCGAGCCCTTCAATAAATTTTCGCGATGATTATTACTTTTTGTAAAGCTGCTGAGCGTTGGGTGCCCTTATTACATTTAAAACCTGGAGAGTTAATGAAATATGAGTTAAATCTTTAGTCTTTGCAACAAGACGTGGTTCCCTTAAGGCATTTGGCAAAAAAAATGCATGCTGACGCCCCTGACGCTGCTAATCGTGCCGGCACGTTGTAAAGGGTCCCTAAATCTGATGTTATAGCGGTGTTTCCTCTACACCTTCCTAATCCAATAGTAAAACCCACGAAGTGATATTTTGCTGGTCCCAGCTGTTTCCAACATGGTTAAATTTACATAGTGTTACGTAATGTTTGACAATATACGAGCAGGTCCTTCGCATTCCCCTCAGGCCGTCGGAGCAACTATATGCTGATATTTCACACCGGCACAGTCCACACCGTTCACCCGAAAACTGGCTATCTTTGTAGGCAGCAGGCTCCAAGCTTCGTATACAGCAAGCAATTTTTATGTTATGTTTTCGGAATGTAAATGAAATTATACTCAATTGTATATCAAAGCAAGCTACTGCTAATAAATAATTCACATTCGCAATGTTTCCAAGCATACAACAAACGATCAGCAAAGCCGATTCTTGTTCATGGTTTGTCGACGACTGGACTCGCATATTCGCTGTCTTCCTAAAAGTATAGGTACCACCCTGATCACGGACGCCAATGGGCAAAAGTTCTCATGGCGCGCTATATTTCCCGGGCTGCTTTTGTCGATTTCGGTGTTCTTGGCCAACTTAATTGCTGTAAGCGATACCCTGGTGAAAACTATATCGTCAATGTCGAGTTCCCAAACCGATAAGGCAACTATAATTATGGTTGCCGCATTATTCTTCCAGTTCTCAATTTGTGGATTGATGCGATTAATGACGTTTCCCTTTACTGCGCGCCTTTAGATAGCTACATCGGTGAACTACATGAAATGTTACCTCTTTTTGACATCCGTGCAGGCAATCGCCGGAAATTACTTTTAGCATCAGCGTTGCAGTTTACCGCTGTTTTAGGTGTTTGTGTTATCGTGTTCACTCTACATTTCCAGCAGAATTTTCCCGGCCCAACTGTTGATTTTCTATGGTATCCGATAAATACCAACACTTTCATCACCGTATTCCAGATGGTTCCAATGCTATTAGCTGCTGCCGGACAATCGGCGTTTACATACGCGTTTTTATATATCGCCGGTATTATCAGTTTTGCATTTCAGGCCAATAACAAGCAAGTTGACAAGATCATTCACAATTTCGAAAACGAAAACAACATGGAAGTTTTCGCTGAAGAGCTAGCAAAATCTCGTCTGCATCACTGGAAGTTGTCAATCGTCACAGAAAAGCTGGATCGCGTGTTCGCCCGGTGATGTTGATCCAAACCGGCTTCGACATCCTGGCGATCACATTGCTAATCGGTATCGCGATGGGTGGGGCGCTTAAATTCTCAATGGGCGTCTTTGCTACAACCAATGTGGAAGACTTTTGTTGTTAATTATTATTGCGATGGGAAACTTTCTGCTGTTCTTCAGTCGCATTGTGATGGCGAGTTATCTCAAAAGCCAGGTAAAACGCGTAAATTATCATAAAAGACACATCACCTTAGTAGTTTGTACTTTGCTGTGCAGGCACATGGAATTGTGTCTCTGTACCATCAGTGCGATGAGGTATCGGAAGGTAACGACCGTATCAGAAAGGTCACTGTTTGCACTGTGCAGCGCTTGCGAGACAATCCGGTTGGATTTACCGTCGGAAAGCTCTTGGTCCTCGATACAAGTTTTATTCTGACGGTAAGCGATATGTTTTATATTGTATTACATGACACAAATCTTGTTCATAGAAGAGCAGTTTGTCTGATATTGCAGTTTCATACAGTATTAAATTATTCTTTTAGGTATTTGGGCTGCTGCTTACCTATTTCATCGTGATCTATGAAATCACATCTCGTAACGACCAAAAGCCATTACATGTAACAACAGCACATTTGCTGAACATACCGATTATAAGTAACCATACCACCTACAGACAATTAAAACAGCTGCTGTTAGCACTAATACAAAGGTTTTCACCATTATTTTTGAGGATTACCGTTTTGCACTACCAGTTAACAAGTTGACCTTAACAAAAGACTACAGCAGTTACGCCGAGCAAGAATGTAATCGTGTATTAGACTAATTTTTGACAGCATTCTTGATCGCATTATTCCGTACGTGTCTACGTGAATATCACGATGTGTCCGAAAAAGCAGTCTTTAGCATTGCGTGTTCGTTTCTTCTTCTTCAACGTTCGCACTTCGCAATGTCTTGTCATGAATGCTTTGACAGCATCCGTTACTACAGACCGCATCTCCACAATCTCGGTCGATTTTGCACCGTCGGTACTCCTCACACGGTCGGCACTGTCCAAAAATACCATTTGCTCCATATGTGGATCGAAATCACCACACAGTGTTCCCAGGAACAGTCGCTATCTTTCGCGCACAAATACGTCTGGTTTGTCGTTGGCTGCAGAGAGTCTATAAAACGAAATTAGACGACTGGATTAGCTTTCGGGTGTCCTGCACCTGCAGAACGGTACATACCGGTGCCTATCTTCGGTACACTACCTATCTTCGGTGTACGGTACATACCGGTGCCTATCTCCTTATTGCATACAGCATATTTACCTTCATCCGTTGATGGAGACGATGTCGAGGTCTCGTTATCAGTTAATTTCTTATCTGAAGTTTTACCTGCACCAGATGCAAAGCACTGAACAAATGTACAAGACGTTGCAAAGAAAACAAATTATTCACGAAATCAGCAGGCCGGGCTTTAGAAGTAAAACCAAAAGCTGTCACCTATTCTGGAGATGAATAGAATAATATCTTTTGTATACAGCTCCAGGACAAAATGATGGAATGTGGTGGCACCACTTTAGTGGTGCTAACCGAGACAGCTTCACTTCGGTAAACTGGTGCACGTACCGGAATTCGTGATAATTATTGCCGTTGCCGCCACTGTAACCGCCAAGATAATCACCGTTGTTACGATGCAGAAAGCGATCTACAACAAGCACGTAATCAAAATATACTGCTTATGCTTTTAACGTTGCTCAACCATGTTAAAAACAATACTTCTCACCAAGTACAGATATCGCTGAACGCCGGTGGCGTGATATTCGAGACTTATACACCACTATTCAGCTGTTAAGATTTTTGTAGTATTTTTTATATCACCAAATGAATTATACTACAATATTCGCTAACCAAAAGAATGCCGGACTGATGAATCGGTGCAACACAATAACGGTACCGCTAGAACCTTTGGTGGTGTAACAATCATTATATAAAAGCTATGACAGCAAAGTGCTGAGTTATGGCACTCAGTGCGGCAGCTTATGTTACGAAAATTCAACAATTTACTGGATAAAAACTTGATTAAGCACAAACACACCATGCAGCAACGTGCGGTACAGCAAACGGAACACTTCTTGTGATTTCGTTGCACATCCCGTTGCAAAATTCAGTTGATTCTCGATGAGATGTTTTGATCAGTAATTTCGCCGATCCGCACCGACTGCACTGCTGACTGCTTGCGCACGAAGCGCTGTCCATTGATCCACACAATACCGTTGGATGGAACGATAAACTGATCCTGTTTAGCTTTACCGTTCAGTTAGTGATGCATAAAAGATGAATTATCTTGCGAATTTAAATTACATTTTTTAATGTGCGGCCACGCTGTGTACACGCAAAAATTTGAGCGGATAATGCGACATTCATTTTTCTATCGAAATTTTGTAAGTTTGTACTCAAAACTAGTGAATCAAGGTACAACACTAAGATTTCAATATCCATCGTGCATAGGTTATAAAATTTGATGGGAAATTATTGTTTACGTTCACAGCGCTGGACCGGTCTGCTTCGCAGGTGTTTACACGTCGTCAGTGGAATGCACATGATCGCACCATTCTAACTCAGAACTGCTGTTCGAATATGTTATTAATGTCATGGAAAGCCTGGGTGTTCCTCTGCTTTACCAACTTTGTTATCTTCTCTAACTCAGTTCGATAATACATCCAGCAAATATGTCAAAGCAAAACGCAAACAAAACAAAACTGACAGTTCGCACAACAAACACCGGCAACATCAAAGAACGAAGTGTACTGAATGCGCTTGATTGAATTACGCTAGGAAAATCACCGAACTCCGATCTTGGTCACTGGCAGACTGGAGCGCAGCTCCTACCTTTTTCAAAATGCTTTTACGCCGCCCTACCGTTTGTTTTATTTTAAGTCATTCCGGCATACGTTAGTTCAATTAAAGTCGAAATATAATTATAACGGAAACACAAGTAAATTATGCACAAGTACTGGAATAAGTACATTGAAATTAGAGGCGCGCATCCCAGAAAGAGCATATCTATCCAGTCGGTTAACTACATGAAAGTTGTACATGTGCTGTACATTGTTCAATAACTATCTTAAAGCAAGGGCGCCGTAGGCTATGAACATTATAAACAACCATGTACTGTACAGTCACTAAAGATGTACAAAATCCAAAGTACCTGACTGCCTATGCTGTCCGCGTGATTTGTTGCTATTTTTGGAAATAAACAGCTGAAGTTAATCCTTGTTACATATAACCTTTCAGAAGAAAATCCCAACGAATAAAGGTAAATCAGTTATCAAAGTAAACCTGTAGGTTTGGTCAGCTACCCAGTGACAGCTACCCAGCTACCTAGTCGACAGTGAAGTTGAGGCATGTGCCACACTGACAGCACGATCTACCATAATTCTTAGGCGAGGCCAGTTCGTGGATGACCAACAGGTACGTCACCAACAGGCCAAACATCTGAAAAGATTCGCTGTTCTGATAAGCCAAAATTATAAATTCCCGATTGCACAATAAGCTATCCGTTATAACGATGGGCATTTCAAATTTGACCAACCGTTACAACAAATTCTGTGTCGAGAAGAAGGATCTTAGCCGCCGTGAACCCCACAGCTATATCTTGTAATCGCCGCACGGTGGGCCTCGTCAAGAGTTCCGCTTTCTTGGAGTAGTGTTCTGGTACGGCATTACAAACATCATGAAAAACTGTAGCGATATCGTGCGCCTGCAAAGTTAAATACGCGCAGTTGGATTTTGGTATTCGTATCGTAACTCTAAGACGATCGTACTTGGCTTTTAGCGTAGCTTGCAGCAATCAGTCGAAAAAAGCACTGTAAAAACCGGCACCACGCAACCGCTCCCACGAGCCAAAAATCTTCCACGTTTGTCGTTATGAAAACTCCCAAAGAAACGCCCATTGATCCGTTCAAGACAATGCCGATTAACAGAACTACGGCGAGGATATCTGAACCCGTTTGCAGCAATTGCAATGGACAGAAGACATCGTCCAAAGCTTTCGTGATCTTGGACAACATGAAATGGACTTGTCGACCTTTTCGTATGGCGTCGAATGCACTGTTTCGTGCAGATTCTTCCACTTCTTCCGTATTCTCCAAAACGGTGACTGCATTTCTAATACGTTTATTATTAGAAGCAAATGCCGCCCCGATAACAAAGGCTAAGTAGACGAAAGAGCAAGTAAAGAGCATCTGTGAGTTAGCGCCGAGTATTATCGGTGCCAATTGGAAGACGATCTGGTAGATGTGTGCCCGCATCTTCCATCCAAAGAAATATGCGTATTCCGTAGGCAGCGGTTGAGTAAAATGGAAATGCATCACTGTTATGCTAGAAACAGCCATCACAACTAGGAGACCGCCAACGGCAGTATGAATGCGATACCGTGCCGTCATTGGCAGATTGACATGAATCGACAAAACACGTTCAAGTTGGCAAATACTCTGGTCCAGTTGGCGGGACGTAAAGGGAAGATACCAAGCAAAACAATTGCACCGCCGAGAAACTGCGCGTAGACTACGGCCATCATATACAATGTCATCGTTTCCTGATGCTCTTCTAGTTGCGATACGGTCTGGATTAACGTCTCGCTGAAGGCAATCAAGCCGGCAGCTATCGGCACAGTCAAAAGAAAACCACTAATTAAAATCGATAAGAAAATTCCTGATCATTCCAGGAGAATATCCGTGCCCCTCAGTAAAATAGAGTAGACGTTCCAATCGTACGCGAACCAGGAAGTAGAAGCGAACAGGTGGCCTTTTGGGCTGCTCCATTTGGTAATGAATTATCAATTATTACGCCTTATGTTGCTAACTGTTACAAATACAATCCCATACTTTCTTGCTCTTACAATATGTTCACAATGAGTAAAAGAACCGTATCAAGCACGGTACTCATGCACGTACAGAGTAAACTTCTAAAACTATGGCATCGGTTAACATGTAACATGTTGACGAAACTGGATTGGGCTCGGTTGACAGTTGACAGTTGCGTCCATAAAACGTACACGGTGTAAAGTTGACCAAAACCTGCTCCATCTATGTAAATTCGACAAGGTGTCAGGATTATGGACTAATGAGAAAGCCGTTGTTGTCGCTCTTAGGTAAGTTACAATTAGAGGAAGAATCACGCGCAGCGCGATAATATTGAACGATAATATACTACTGTTTGCCTGTCTACTACGAGTACGAGTACATTATTAAATCACGCAGTGCAGCAGGATTCGTCTTCACTCTATTAGAGTAATGACACTTAACGTTATTACAGGACAGAGTAGCGAACAAAACCCAGCTAAAGATGAATCAAGTGTGCTGTAGCGTTGGGCGGTTCCGTCTTACAGATGCCATCGCTGCGGGATGTACTTTCATGGACCACTAGCAAATATGTGGCCAACACACCAGTGGTCTGCAAAACCAAAGAGATGTGGAAACCGCCATCCGTCAATATTTCATAAGTTTACGACATGCAGGCAGACTTTATGATCACATGCAGTCGTTGTATCAGGGCAACGTCTGTTTCGATGCAACAGAGGAAACTGACTAGTACTTTCACTTACAGTTACGACAAAGTTCGTATCCAGGTTCACTAAGCCCCATCCGGTCAGTACAACCGGGTTCTCCGTCAGTCGACGAAGCGTCGCACTCATCTGGTTTCGAACAGCCGTATTCCAGTGTAACTTCTCCATAACATCGTGGTAAATCGGGACAACACTGTGCGCCTAAAATTAAATTCACCGTAGAACATTTTCGTGACGCAATACTCATCGTCAATAGAGTAGTGTTCCAGTAAAAAGGTGAATTGCAAAATAGTCACTAACTTGATTATTCAGCCAGCTCGCGGAAAGTAGGCAGCCAGCCAGTAGGCTTGCGACACCAACTGCCGAAATTATCATGGATGCAAAATCCTCATCATTGGGTGTTAGCGCAAACCCCATGGACGCGGTCAGACGCCCTTCCATGACCAAACCCACCATCAGAATGACCTCCAGCGTGGCACTGCACACCAAGATAAACACGCCGGGTGCGAAGACGGTATCAAAGCGCCGGACGATCTTTGTTAAGCGATGATGGCGCGATCGAATCCGCTCCAAACAGCTGGTGAACTCCTCCACTCCGATGACCCCATTTTCTAGCTGTTCGAAATTTTGTGCAACGCCGGATGCTATACTGCGGAAAGCGTATCCCGTTGTCCCGACCATGTACAAGTAAACGGTGCTCAGGATACCTCGACAACAACGCCGGACATAAGAGGAATCCTTGAAATATGACGATGGCGAAAATCGTACGAATGAATGTAAACCATAAGCGTCTGTATGGAAGGCGTCATTATATTTCCATGAAGGCGACAGTACATCCACAATGCGCCGCAGATGGCGATAAAGGCGTTAAACAAAAGCGTGATTTTGGATAGCTTCTTGATTTTATCCGGGAAAAGTGGATGCTCGCCTATGTAACTCGCCAATTCCTGCACGATTTGGTGGATGTGTCGGGTCTGACGGGTAGTCACTACGATTGTGGCGATCGCTGCCACATCGAACGAAAAGATCATCAGCGCGACAAACAAGAGCTTGGTAATCTCTTCGGTGGAATGGCCGCTTTGCTGGCCTTTAGATATTCTTCTGTCACGGTAACTGTCCAGAAGGAGGGCGCATACATACACCACACCATACGGATGCGATAAACGACCGCTTCGGTGAAGGTCCGTCCTGCCATACGCTGAGACCGCCTAATCGCAATAATGTACGGAGTCCCTTACTGCGCCTGTCAAAGGAAGAACCAGTTTTCTTTTGCATTTTGCAAATATTTATCATATGCTTATAATAGTTATTTTGGACTTCTAAAAACTATTTGAACTATTTTGAACTTCATTTAGTGGTGAAAGACAAACTCTCGCGATGCAAAGTTGACTGCATTTGCATCGCCTAAACGGTACGTTCACAATACAAACTTGTTGATCAGCTAATTTTGTAGCGATTCCACGGAAGTATGTACGTTCCACTTGCAGCAATCATTCAAATAATGGAGAACAGTTTGATGTAGGCAAGGGAATTCATCCTTTCCCAAATGCTAACAAATATTAAGTAAAAGAGAATCATATATTGAACCTTAAAAATAGTATACATTGTACGTCGACAAAAACATTCTGCTGAAGTAGCACGCTTGAGACGCATCACCATCAGCGTTAGTACCAACGGATCGCTTACAGCGGAATGCATCCAGGATGACCTCAGTGTTAGAGTACATGGACAAAGTACATCTTTACTACGGACGTCAATGCCGCTGCGCTATGGTCAAAAGGCCATTGTGTGCAGCGTGCAAAAAGGTCAAAATAATATGATTACAACATTATTTTGTCGATCAGTAATGCGGCTAAAGCCAGTAAGTTAAAAAGCACAGTTTCTAACTACAAGCCTGCTGCTGTATGCGCAGTTTAATAGCGGTAATACGCTTCGTTATTTCCTAGGTAGTCATGTAACAAAGCCAAATCTAATGGTAAGCGTTGCAGTTTATAGTGCAAATGAATTACACGCGGTACCTTCATGTTACTATCGGTATTTGTAAAGCACATGCAGTTTTTTGGTTACTGGGATAGAGGAAAGAAAAGCAAATTTTAATTGTGGCAGGTCTCACAGAGTTGATGTTACCGGTCAGACCATTCCCAGTAAACGCAACGCGTTAATAAACGTCAAATGCGTTAATAAACGTAACGCATTTGATCTGGATAGCGAATAACAGGGTAACACAACTTACGATGCACACAAGAATTCCAGAATTTGCCAAAACTATTTCCAGTGCCACTGGTCTGGTTTTACCGATAGGCATCTAATTTCTTAGGTGAAGTTCGCAACATGCGACGTTTTCGTTTCACCTTATTAATATCTGGAATTAAAATTGAAAATTTCAGAACATTGACACTTCGATCGAATTAATAGATGGTGACGGTTCTTATTGGCTTTATAAGCAGCTGCTTGCACGTCAGCCTGACTTGTGTATACGGCTGTCACATGTCATACAAGTCTACCATATGGGGAGACTTTATAGTGACAGACTTTGTTAGTGTCCTGGACAAAAAGAATTTTGCCAGTTACGTACTGTAGAAGTTATCGCAGTAATACGACAATTCGTCAATACAGTCACACTAATCAAGGGATTTCGACGCATAATCTTTCGTCAATGGAAGGTTCCAAAAGCGTAGCTGGTACTATCTCCTGGTTTGCACACGACTGGAACGTTTACTCGATCTTACTGCGGCGCATCGGTTACGTTCCTTGGATTGACAAACAGTTCTCCTTTCGGTCGTTGATTAGCGGTGTACTCCTAACGGTACCCGTAGCCGCCGGCTTGATAGCCTTTACCGAGACTTTTGGCAAAACCATGTCGGGACTTCCGGAAGAGCAGGAGAAGCTGACCTTATACATGGTCGCCGTCGTTTACGCGCAATTTCAGTTCGGCATTTTCATTTTACTCGTTGTCTTTCCTTTCCAGTCCCGCATCCTGAATCAACACGCTGGTGACCTTGAACGTATTCTGTCGCATCATGTCAGTATCCCTGCTGTGACACGCTCTCGCATCAACACAACCATTGTCGGGCTGCTCGTTGTACTGACGATTTGCAACATAGTTGGATTGTATTTCCATTTCACGCAGAAGCTACCAGTGGAATATGTGTGCCTATTTAGATGGAAATGCGGGTTAAGATTTATCAGGCAGTGTTCCAGCTTATACCGATAATGTTCGGAGCGAGTACTTCCGGCATCTTTACCTACTCTTTCGTTTATCTTGCTTTTGTAATCGGAGCGGCGTTTTCTTGTAACAACCAAAACATCAAGAAAGCAATCGTTGCACTGGAAACCGCAGTTGACGATTCAGTACCGCTCGATCTAAATGCAATCCGGCAAGTTCGAAAAGTTCACTGGATGCTGTCAAAGGTTACTCTCGTTTTAGATGATGTTTTCTGCCCGCTGCAACTGTTGCAGACGGGTTCAGATATCTTCGCTATAATTTTGCTAATCGGAATAGTTCTGAACGGATCCATGGGTGTTTCTCTGGGAGTTTTCGTAACAACGAATACCGAAGATATGTGGTTTCTTGCAACGGTTGCGTTGTGTCGCTTTTCGATGTGCTTCCTTCGGCTAATTGCTGCAAGCTACGTTAAAAGCCAGGTACGAGTTGCACATACGTAGTTACCTGTACCAAAATTGCATGCTCTTTTATACTTACATTGCAGGCGCACGATACCGCTTCGGCGTTTAATGACCTTTGTGAAGTGACACCAGAGCAAGACTCCAAAGAAGTGGAACGCCTGACAATGCCGACGGTGCGCCGACTACATGGGAGTTTTGTTGGATTCACCGCGTGGAAAGTCCTATCTCTTGACAAGGAATTTATTGTAACGGTACGTCTGCAGCCTAAACACTGAGCGCAGAATTAACCATAAGAACACTGGCTTATATACCGCTGTGTAAATTCTACTGGGCCTTTTATCTTTATCGTGGTACTGGTATTTGCTTCTTTAAGATGAAGACTTGCTACCTTTGATCGATGAAGAAATAACTAATTTTGTAGGTGTTCGGGTTACTGGTGACCTATCTGTTGGTCATCCACGAATTCACGTCACCCAAGAATTCCGGGATCAAGTCGTGTTGTCATTGTTGTGATAACTGGAATTTCACGACTGAGTAGTAGGAGTACCCAATCGCTACCATAAGCTCGGTGTGAATGTACGATTAGTGTGTCCATTGTCCAATGTTCCTTCGGATCGGCTGGTCAAATTAGAGAACACGCGCAGTAGTACAAATGTACGAATAAAACTATGAGCAGCATCGTTTTCATTACTGATGTCAAACTGCTAATTTCCGAAGCCTTTGTGTCAAAGTGCTGAATTATTTACAGCTATTTGTTTGTACTGTACTTTTTAGTTGGTTGTGTGCAACTAAGGCTAAGACATCAGCCCACTGGAAACTGGAGCGTCTGCCCAGCAAGCGCTTTATTTCAGCCGCATTTCTTCTCTTCATGTAATTTTATATGAAGAGAATTACAACTCATGAATCAAGATTAAAGACTCTTAACAGGATTCCAAACTTCAGCTCCCCGCTTTCCTAGTTCTCGTGAGGTGTATGGTAGTATGGTACTATGTTAATTGTAATCAAAATGAAAGTAACAAGTAAGAAGCACGATATATTATAACAGGTATGATAGAGTTTTGTTATGGATCAGAAGTACTTCGATTTAGGGCACATTATTCAACAGCTTAAAGCACCACGAGCATGTGCAGCGCCGCGAGAAAAATTTTCGAGCGAACAGTATTTACTGTACATATTAATATATCTATATTGCAGAAAAGGCATCACAAATGCTCAAACGATAGCAAAATTGCAGTAAGTAAATTTTATTTTTTTGTACTTGTAATCAATACTGACGAGTACTTACGTTGGGTACGTTCTTATTCCAGTCGCTTTCATCCTACTGTACCTGCAGCTTATGGGACTATATAGTCTATACTCTTATACTGTACATACCGTATGGTTTTCATTACGTACCCTTTTTTATGACCTATCTACGTTTTATTTACCTTGTTAATAATTATTGCTTGCTCTAATGTACATGTATGATAGTATTCTACCATGCCATGATTCTACTGTACTTTTACATGTACATTAACTGTACTAGTTTATTATTATTATTATTATTGTTATTATTATTATCGAACCAACAGTAGCCAAACTCCACTTGGGAGACTTTTAAGGCTATTGGAAATTATTTTTGGTATTTTGAAATTTTTATACTTTTTTTGGTTTGATTTTATGAGATAAAAGTTACTCATCTGGGAATCGAACCCAGGCTATACAGTTCAAAAGCCGAACGTATTACCACCAGGCTGTGAGCAGATTAACATAATATATAATTATTATTATCGAACCAACAGTAGCCAAACTCCACTTGGGAGACTTTTAAGGCTATTGGAAATTATTTTTGGTATTTTGAAAATTTGTATACATTACAGATGCATACTTTAGCATGTCATAATGACATTAGCGATCAAATTTTAATGTTTGAAATTTTCACTGTTCCCTGCAGCATCAAATAATATTCTCTTATAAAAGAGGAATAGAGAAACCAGCGAATGAATTATAATTATGGGTATTTGACGAAGCGGAAGCCCGACTGATTGGTGCACTGACTGTGATCAGACGTACCTTATACTATACTGTATACGTTGTTAAGCTGTTAATAAATAACTGGCCCCATCCGGTGGTCATTTGGTCACAGTTTTGGTGAATGTTTGTATTCAACAAATTGTACATAATTCATGTAGTACACGTAGATACTCCTAACAACGTAATGCAAGTAAATAATAAGTAAAATGCCCTAATATTATTTAGAATTCTTTGAAATAATTAAAATATTCTATGTAACAATTATACTAGTTAATTTGAATGTTCTCTTTCGTTCCAGAACACTGAACATTCAACGTAATAATAATAAATAAAAAATACACAGTACATAATTAATCGGAAAGTAGTCCTCTTCTGTCTCGGAAGTCAATACCGTACCTAACACAAATTTTGGGTTTGCTTCGCAACAACAAAAATTAAGCGAAGCTGTACTTACATGTAGAGCCATAGAGATACAGTAAGTCAAGTACGTTGTGCACTTGACAAAAGGATGAAAATAAAACAAGTACTTACCGCTTACCGTAAGCGGCTTACGCATTTGCAAAAAGCAAAAATTAGCATAAAAATATTTGTTTCCAGCACGATTTGAGCGGGAATATAGGTTTAACTCGTTGCGCCGCTGTTGTGACTGGTAGAAATGTGGCGCCGGAAGTCAGGTCTATGTTGCGAATGTTGAAATTAAAACGTGGCGCAGTTTCTTCGCTTCCTGTTCAGCGCTGTGATCATTAACCTATGGCTATGACGTTGTAATGTTGTCACGGATTTCCGTCACAAAAAGTTAAAAGTTTCCTATCTTCCTTAGTTTCTCTTTTTCTTAGCGATAGAAAATTAAAGAGTGTTTCCATTTTCCGTTTGTTTTCCCTCAAACTGAATATAATCTCCAACACGTTCATAAGAATTATACTTCTATTCGTTTTCAGAGCTGGCGCACAGCTGTGGCAGAAGATGCTCTGTTTCTGAATTTTGATCAGTATGTGTACGAATATCGGAATATGCACTGATTTATCCGTTTGATTGAGTTGTTCAGTTTGTTGATGATGTCTGCATGATCTCCCATGTCCGTCCATCACTCTCCATGTGATCATGAGCAACGATGACGAGGGCCGGACTTTGGAGAAGGAGTTGGAAAGTGTTAAGCGGAGAAATCAGGATCTGCTGCGGGAAACAGAGACGCTGCGTGCCAAGGTTGGTTGTGCTTGTGCAGAAGTCAGAACTTCGTTGCACTGACACACGCACCATCTGGGCTCTTACAGCTAAAGTATTTCGTCGTGTCCTGCAAATTATTCCACATTTTTATTTTGTATCAGGTGATATGTCTGGAGAGTGAGAAGGGTGAATATATCCGCGAACTGCGCAAGTACAAGGATGCCTTGCTGGCCCATAAGAAAGAGCTGGCTAATTTCCACGAGCATAAACATGCTAAAAAAGAACTGGAGAACCAAGTTGACAAGTAAGTGCAGACGGAGTAAAACAGGTGTCGCATTTCCGGAAATTAACGGTTAACACAATCTGGGGCATCAGCTGATTTTACAGCAGGAAACAGTTGCTCAGGAATCACTGATCACTAATGCAGTATTTTATCAGAAATAAGGTTGGTTGTCCGTATTCAAAACACTTTTTGAATCTTATTTAAGAAATTTTAAAATGTAAGATCTTTAGAACGTTTAACAGTTTTAAATGGGGACCATTTCTTAGTTGAATTTTCAATTTTTTCTGTCTGTTGTAATGGCATTTTGTAAATGTCTGGTGTGAAATAAATAGTAGGTAAATAATTTTTTTCAGGTTTTATGTAGACAAGTTTAAATGAGTTATTTAAAACGGCCCTTGAATTTCAACAGCTAACTGTTAGATATTCGTGTGTGAATTGTGTTGCATTATTGTTAGTTGAGAGTCTGTTTTCTTGTCTTCGTTCGTTTTCTTATTTTTTATAATGTTATTATTGTTTTCCTTATGATTGCGTTTCGTGGTGCCTTGTTTATGCTCCCTACGATTTTGTTGTGACAGCTCTTATTGTCTGTGCGTTTATCTTACATGTTCAGTGTTGTAATGTTTTGCGGTGGAGATTTTGCCGAGTAAGTGCAAATATTTGAGCTGACATCCACAGAATTTTTTAAAGAATACATCAACAGCCTTAACCATATATCTGTAAATTTTACTTAAATGGTTACGCACGACTACACGGTGAAGTACAAGATACGTGGCAGATCTTTGAAACAGGTGTTATCCTTCGATTTCTTTTACACTTTTGAACATTTTTCTAAACCTTGGACAGCATGCTGCTGTGTGGAAATGGATCGTTCGCTCCGGTGCGAGAATTGATGCTAAAGTTTTGTATTTAATTGGCTTGTAATTTTTAATATTCAAGTATTTGGATGAAAAATTGCGGTTAAAGCTGTCATAAATGGATGGCTAATGATAAGTGTATTTTTTTCCATGGCAGTCATAAACGGCAGATTCTGGAGCTGCAGGCCGACCTGGATCGATTACGTGATTTGCTCAAAGAAACCGAAACGGATATGCGAAAATATCAGAGCCAGTATCAGGATTCCATGGACTTGATCGAGAAACTCACCGCCAACAATGTTGATCTCAAAATCAAAGTTTCCGCTTTTTCTTCCGAGGTAAGTGCCACTGCCGATGCAGTTCTTTCGATTTCGTTGGCGGTATAGAAATTGTGATAACGTAGTGAAGGGGTTGGAGTCATCGTTTCCTTGTCATCAAAGTGCAGACTTGGGCTCTACATATACTATTATTAGAAACGTAATAATTGAATTTGCGAGAGTTTAAGCTGAAATTTTTTTGCCTATTGTATGCAAACCTAATTTTTTTACCAACACTCCACTCAGCATGTCGTGAAAGTTTTGCTGTTATTGGGAATTCTGTTTTTATTTTTTGTACTCGTGTTACAGGTATCCGTAGTCGCCTGTTTGGTAAAGTTGATAAACAGCATATAGTCATTCTTTACACTCTTATTTATCTCCGTCTTGTATTCCGTTTTGGTAAATGTCACTGGCCAATTTTTTTTTAAATAAGATTGATTTGTGCATTGATTTGTTCAGATAAAAGGATAGTGATACTTGAACAGTTTGGCGTAGTTTGTTAAATTTATGGTTTAATAAATCTGAAAATAGTAAACGAAGAAGGTTCTTATAGTGCCTAGTCATATCATTTTCGTAGACTTGAGTGTCGAGAGTCCAGACTTTGGTAAAGTTTTATTTATAATTTTGTTAGTTGGATTCCTTACAAGTTTCTTATGCCGCGCTGCAAAGCGATCACGCCACTCTCCTGTCGCGATCGGAGCGCGTGTCCAGCGACCATGACCTCCTGAACACCCAACTGGAAGCGGAACGGTCCTCCCGCGTTAGCGACGCCGAGACTCTCCAGCGTCAGCTGGAAGAGCGCGACGCGGAGATGCAGCGCTTACGGCTGGATTATGAGAACGCGCAGAATGAGAAACGACTCCTTTCCAGGACGTATCATGCCACTTTGAAGGATCTGAAACGGCAGCTGGCGGCGGCGGCCAAGGCGCATTGTAATGGATCGGAGAACGGGAAGGGTGATCCGGAGAATGTTGAACAGATCAGTCTTAAGTCGCGGGCCAGTTCGTCGTCGTCGCTGGATGCCTCGCCGGTGCTGCTGCACTGTGTGACCAATCATAATACATTCTCCCACAGTGAAGATTCAGCGGTAAGCACACCTGTATTTGTGCTGTATTCTGTAACTTTTTCAAAGAGAACTAATGGTGAAAATTCTGTAGAGTTTTTGTAGAAAAAAATGGTCCAAAATGGATTCCATAAAATATCGGAAGCTTCGTAGTGTAGTGGCAATGAACAAAGTGCCAAAATGTTGCATGGAGTAATGCGTGTAGCCGCACTCGTGTAGAAACCATTTTGAACGAAAGCCGTGCAGTGCAGGCAATTTTTTAACGAGTGCGTTTGTTCCTAGTGTCGTTAAAAGGTATCATGGATTTTAATAGGAATTCGAAGATGCTTATATTTTTAATATTTTACTATCTTGCAAGTGGGCTCATGGATAACACTATTACTATTCTCGTTTGCTTAAGCTTACCGTTAACTGTTAAAATGTTTCTGGCTTATGGGTGAGGCAGAAGCCTTTTGATGCTTCCGTAAAAATAAAATTTAATTTTTTTTAGCGAATTGTGGACTCGTTGTGCCAGCAGCAGTAATGTCGTTTTCCCAGTAATGTGATGTAAATTCTTAATGGGTTTTAATTCGTTGCTTACCTTTTTGCAGGCGCCCTCGCCACAAGCCAGTGCGGATATCGACAAAGCCTTGTTAATCGAAAAGATTGTGAATCTCCAGCGTGAATTAGCACGGAAGGATGAAAAGTGCGATTTCCTCGAGGACCACATTGCGTTATTAACGGCAGAATTAAAGAAAGCCAAACTGCACAGATAGAATTTGATCATTCCGCGTTGTATAGCGGTGTTTTCTCTACTGATTAAAACTGTCTCCACTCTGTCCGGGCAACCCGGTGTATGAATCTGTTGTTTGAATCTTCTTACCAGTTTTTCGTTTTATGATAGAATTTTAATTTAACTTACAGATTCTCATGGGCTTGTGCGTTTTTGTGCTCTGTTTAGAGATGTTCAAAGAGTATTGTTGAATTCGTAATCTGGCTGACAGTCCACCCTGAGTGATGAATTTTTTATAATTCAGTCTTGATTGAACTGATAAAATTCGATTGAATCAGTAATGATTTATGAAAGATAAAGATTTGGTAAGCGTATTTACAGGCTGTATAGTATACAGAATTTCGCAAACACTTCAAAGTACCGAAACTTCTGAGTTGAATCTGCTGAGAAAGGTTTCTCCTCTGTGGTTCATTCTTGTCAACAAAAACTGCGGTTTGGATTTTATGGTTAGCCTTATTTGTCAATGTTTTGCCGAAAAAATGTCGGGAAATTTACTATACATTTGTCTCGCTTTTGTTTTTTGGGCGGTAAGTTCCGTATGTACACGTAAGTACTTATGTATTTTGTACGATATTCAGCTACTCCATTAATTTTTACCATGTAGGTCTATTTTATTGTATCTTTTCTAAACTTAAGTTTTTGAATTAGTATTATTTGCATTTAAGCAGACTGACGCGCACCACCTACATATATCTTCTAAAATTCATGACACATACATGACTTACATAGTAAAATTATGTTACTGTATTCGTATCTTACACTACCGTACTTCATATGTCCAATAATTATAACTACATATTATATATAGAAATATTCCATTTCGCGACCCTGCAGTTAAAAATCTTTATTATGAATTTTGGTTCGTAATTTTAATTTTGCTGATGGAACTGCGAAGTAGTGCCAGCGATTTTATATCAATTGAGTTACTGTACGTGTATTGTTTGTACGAAAATGCAGCTGCCGTGCCACAGTGAGCAAGCGTCGGACACCGATGTAAACCGTATCCGGATTACTTCCCGGAATTTCGGGGGCCCCCTGTACCGGATCACCATACCACACGGGACATCCTACACCATCGTCTGTCCACAGACTAGACAGGAATTGAACAATCCTGCACTGCCAATAACCGAAAATATCCAGTCGTACCTGGACACCGTCAACCACTTATCGTGTCAGCATCCCTTTCCCGATTTCCGCACGGCACAGACACCGGACCGCGGCATCACCGTCCTGATTATGAGTGCCCGCTACGCCGCGACCGCCCCGGTGGGCATCTGCATGGATACTTTTGTCTGTGATACGGAGATGACCAGTCAGTGTGACCGCTACATCCACCACAACTGCACGCTGGACGCCCGCGATCCCCTGGAATTGCCCGGGTGTCAGGGACGATCGCTGTTTGTGGAGTACGACTGCCGGCCGGCACGTAAGTTGAGATTATATTCCTCAGTGCATCCCCAGTCAGTATAGTAAATTCAGTGTATACGTGTACTATGACTTAGTGATATATATATAACGATATAAATTATTAATTTGCAGCGGTGATGATCAACTAATACGAACGGGATCGCGGCGGACGGATTTGGATTGCTACTTTCAACGTATAAAGTTTAATGCATATATTCAGTCAATATTGGGATGGGCTGATCATGAGTCTTACGGTGAACTCGCGCCACTTCGAAGTTTGTTTGTTTGATATTCTTTTACGTAGTACGTAATAATATCTAATCATGTAATTATCGCAGTTCGCAGCCATGTGTGCTCGATCTTGTTTCTCTACGATACACAATAAATTATTATTATTACTGTGATAATTATTGGATGATCTTTATGGATGACCTTTCGGTTTATTTACATACTCGTATATACGGTGCATGCGCGGTATTTAAGCATGCAGTTCAGCACTGTTCGTTCGCTTGGGAAATCATAACGTCATCACTGTAGCAGTATATCTGACTACAATACTAACCTGTAAGTATTCTGCTGTTAACTACGCATATGACGTAGTTGATTGTCGCAAAAGTAAATAGTTGTTACATAAATAAAACAATTAAACATACAAAAATAATTATGTCGCTTGAACGTTCAGACATGAGCAGGCATTCCGGGCCACGGCATCCTATTAAAACCGCGCCGTGTCCGCTGCAGCTGGTACATAAAAGGACTGTACGAATCCAAATCCCAATCATGCTGCGGATAGCGATTGAAGTTGTAGGTGGAAACGGCTTCCGTAAGCACCGCCAAACATAACACACAGCACAAGTACAGGGACATAACTATCCATCCGTGATGCTTCCTTTGCATGGCTATAGAAAAGTTGCACAGAGTATGACAATTTTACAAATTGCTCTTTCAAGTCATCAATCAAAATATTGACTGTCAGGCAGGAGATAAGACGAACTGCCGTTGGTTCGCGTTAAAATAAGTTAAATAAATATGTGAGTGAGTAATAAATAAATAAGTGACGTTGCAGAAATTCTGTAATAAACAATAATGTATAAGTATGTACGAATACTCGTATAGACATAATAATTATAATGTACCGAAACCTACCCGAGTATTAAAGAGATCATTATGTGAGTGGTTAACTCTTGGGGCGAGTATCTCTACGGGTAGATTCTCTAGGGTACTTAATTAAGTACTGTAACTAAAGTCATCAATTAAATTTCGAAAACCTCCTGCGATGTATTACGCTATGCTTATATTGTAATTGCGTACTGCATAGCAAATTTTTATGATCACCGATACGAGCAAACTAAAAATTATAATTATACAGTTATATTTGTTCGGTTTGCCTTCTTCCGGTGCTTAGTTAAAGTGAATCAAACGATTTGAAAACTGATACTTACTGAATATGTATACAATTCTGTTACAGTAAAACATAATACTTACTATTAAGTCTTTTTTAACTGTAAAGTAAGTACAGGTAGAACCTTCTCCGACTCTCATCGTTGTCATGGCTCTGTTAGCTAAATATGCCCGCTGTTTGTTGAAATCTGTTACCGAAAATACGGCATGCGTAGGAAACAAAAATATTACCGCAAATAATTCCAACGCAACGCTGTCAACGCGGTTTTTACTCAAACACTGACCTAAAGAAAACATATAGTTGCAGAAACTGAAACAAATCAATTGAGGAATTTTCTATTCAGCTAGCCATATAATTGGTAAACCGGAACGCTTAAACACCAATACCTGCTCACTGCCAGAAGAGCACATATTATCTGCGCTTACACAATAAAAATCCGAACAGTTAACAAAAACTATGAGACGTCAGACAAAGCGCACAACCGCAAGATCCATCACCAGTTATGAGAAAACTCCCGTAATTATCCTTCGAAAATGAACGACAGGCAAGCAGCGATAAACAGAGAGCGGAGATAATGAGATGCATTTGTGCCGTTTACAGTCCGATATCGTAGTTGGCTTTGCCATCCACGTAGGCGCTCTTGATGAACGGCACCATGATTTCCGACGGAAAGACGATGTCGGCGATGGCCGGCTCCTTCAGCATCTTCTGCATCCAGGCGTGCAGTTTAGGATAGTCGCGCTCCATCTTCAGATCGACACTGCGCACTTCACACCGGCGCGATACGTTCGAACCACGGCCAAATCATCACGTCCACGAAACCCATCTTGTCGCCTGCAGATAACAACGAAGTTATAGAACGACAAAAACTGGGAACGAATAAGTTGAATGTAACGTGTACATGCATGAGAATCTAATTCAACCAACAGAAATTAATCCATGTAAACTAATACTCAGATATTATAGATTCATTTATTTATTTATCTTTGGGACAGAAATCAATTCAGTTATTGGCTCATCAAAACCGACGTACAGTACAAGAAAACTGAAAAGTCAACAGAACTGTTTATCTAAAAAATTAAAAGAATCTGAAAGTCTAAAAATTAAAAGGTAAATCGCGCAAAAATAAGATCAGAATAAATCTGTGAATATACGATAGAAATGAAAGAACAGGATGCAACTCGAACGGGAACAGTGCTCACAGATACGTTCACAACGCTTACCTGCGAAATATTGACCAGTCAATGATTCCTCCACTTCTTTCAGGCCCTTTTTCAGCTCCTCGACTTTCTCTTTGTCACCCTTAGCGCCAACGGCGTTCAAATTGTTGATAAACTATAACACAATTCAAATAAATCGATATAATAACTAAATAACTTGGAAAGGGAGGATGATATGCCGCATTCAAGTGTTGCCGACGAAACAATTTCGAATATACAGCATACAGACTAATCTATACTAATGTAAAAGCACAGAGAAACCGCTTAAATTTTAGTCATGAAGTTCACCAGAAAACAACAGATTCCACGAGATGCTCATAAAACTGTGATATATTAGCCAGGATTATTTTCTTATTCTGATAATCATTAAGAAAGAACTTCTTTCGATACGGCAAATGTTTTAAAACAGAAAAGTTTATTCATCATTCGTTAGAATGATACCTTCTGAGTAATGACTTCGATAGCCACTTTCTGACGAGCCTTTTCGTACTCGTCTTTCGGCAACAGTTTCGGCTCATTGGGGAAATGCTCATCGACGTACTCGGCGACGATCAGCGACTCAAAGACCGGTTTCGGCTTCCCGGGCTCATGCAGTGTCGGCACCTTGCCCAGTGGGTTGTGATGGGCCATGTACCATTCCGGTTTCTCGGTCAAGTTGATATTTACAATTTCATACCTGCAGCGACCAAAACACGTCAACAACAAGTTAACAACATCAGTTCGAAGCGCCGACATTCCTGAAAATCCGCATAATATGAACACAACCTTCAAGTTTTGACAAACGATGATTTTCTACCAATTTGCTGCCATTCAACAGAGTATTAGAAAATAAAGCAGTACTAATGACATTCGAATAATACGAAAAAAAAACGAAAATAATGAGTGCGTTCAGTACTTGAATGCAATTGTCCAAGATAAAAATATCCGGATTTAATTCGAAAAATAATGAACCTATTTTTCCAATACACTCATATACACTGATACGAATACTTCCGTATTGAATGATAATTATGCGCAATATAATTCAATCGCAATCATAATCATTCCAATTTTTAATCAATTTCACTGCGTTTTTTTTACTGTTTCTGCGGAATGGAAAAATTATAAACAGATCCAATCCGCGTCACTGATACAGCTAGAACAGTATACTGCATGCAGTTTTAATTTTAAAATTACTTATTACCATTAGAAAAATAAAAACCTAATTTTACCAAAAATACTGGAGAAACTAAAATATAATGTTAATAATATGGCCTTATATGGGTTAAGATTCTGGATTTCTCGGTCTCTGGTTTCCTGATGATACAGCTTAGATTGTTAAAAATTCAAAAACAAGGCTGCGTTGCGAAAAGATGAAAACAAAGGTTGACCTTGACCCCCGCAATTTCAAGGTTAAAGATGATTGACATTCGACAGTGAATAAAAAGGGCGAGCTAGACAAGGTACGATAAAAAGACACTATGGAAAACGGGGAGCGCACACTTACGGGATTTTCTTGATGTTCAGCGTCAGGCGAGCCCGCTCGGCGTACGGGCAGAATCGCATGCTGAAAAGACGCAGTTGGTTTTCGTCCAGTTTGGGTTCCGATGAACCTACAACGACCAGTCATGTCAACAATTCCAAGAAGCCGTGGAAAAGGATCTCCGGTGTTTTAAATGCGCGTCGCCTCGTTACCTTTCCCGAAATGCTTCTTTTCACCGTTAGCAGCAGGCATTTTCAGAGAGGAGTGTGTAGAGAAATAACGAGGATGAAGAATGGGTCGGAAAAATCTAAACGGCATAAACTGATAAACAGTGAGAAGCACAGAATGACTAGCGAAATTTCAGCAGCAAAATGGAAAAACAACTCGAAATTTCTGTCATCGATCGACTGTATTCACGGCAGGGCTGGTGGCCAGGTAAAAGAAATGTTTTCGCCGTGCTTCACGCATTTCCGGTTTGTATGTTGCGAGACGAGGTATGCACCGTATCTTCGCCTCGCTACCCGCCGAGCAAAAGCCTTGCCTATTGTTGGATGCAGGCAGCAGGCCTGATGGTGAATTTTTTTTTCTTGATTTTTCAACTGTGCTTTTCGAAACCTTCTTCAGTTTTTCAGTTTAGTCTTTTCCCTTGCATAACTATTGCAGTTCCTCTTCGGACCACTCGTATAGAATTTGGGAAACATGCCTCTACCAAGCGGAGAATCGAAACATCTTACGATTGGTACATCTTCCAAATTTCCAATAGTCTGCGTCATTTGCTGTTTTGAGAGCTGCTTCGCTGAAGCATACATAGAAGGCAGCTTCGGGTTGACTGGGCAGTTTTGAACTGTTTGTCGCTGGTTCCACTTTGATTCGTCAGTGGCATTTCCCGAATAGCAGTATTCATAATTATTTCGTATTATCGTGAACGGGTTATTAATTGTGTGTGATAATCCGTCGTCCATTTCTGCAGGTTCTCCGGAGCCGCAGCTGGACGCATCCACGTTGACGGTGTACAGTATGCGATTCTGCCCCTATTCCAGACGGGTCTTGCTGGTTCTGCATAAGAAAAAAATCCCGTACGTGCTGCAGTGTGTGTAATGATGGATCGAGTAAATTTGACTTGATCGACATCGACGACATGTGAGAAAAACCTTCCTAATCTGAACTGGCGTTGCTGACAGATCTGTTGCATGCATGATGCAGGCACAAGATCGTCAACATCAACCTGAAGGCGAAACCCGAGTGGTACTTGGAGCATGTCAACCCGCTGGGAAGGGTGCCCACCCTGTATGCACCGGGTCGGAATGATCCGCTCTTTGAGTCGCTGATCGGGGCGGAGTATTTGGATGGACAATATCCGGGCGACGGCGCACTGCTGCCGCGGGATGCATACGAAGCAGCCCAGCAGAGGATCCTCATTGAAGTGATTACGCAGAAGGTAGTTTGCAATTGCGCTGTTTTAATTCTGCAGAAAAGAAGTGACAGAGTATCGTTAATCTTCTTAGCAAACGAGCCTACTACTTGCTGTACGAAACATAAATTATTTGCCGTTCGATGCATTTGTGGAAACTGGTTGCAGATTAATACTGTAGTAAGAAAAAATATAATAGCGAAAAATCAAGCAAGCAATCTGCAACTGTATTACAGTTTTTGAAATTATAAAAGAGATAATTGTGAATTGTTGCATTTCATTACCGAATCTTCGGCTTTTACAGTACTCGTACTCGTCTCTTATGTTTACTGATTTACATATTTACTATTCAGTAGTATTTCCAGAGACGCTTCGTCGACGACAGTATTTATGCTTTTTTGAATACAGTACTGTATTGTATTGCCGTGCCATCCCTTATGTATTGTATTATATGAAAAACGGTTACACTTTTGGCTGTATTTTGTGACTGGTTTGAATGTAAGTGATTGTAGATGTATAATAATGTGCGCTGTAGCAATCTTTGCTTGAGCACTTTTTCTGTCGTTTGCGTCGTTGACCGTATTCGTAATTAAAGTACTCGTACAATACATCTTACGAAGTATGGACGTAACTGATTTTGTATTATTTTGAAGGTGATAAACCATTTGAACGTTTTGGGAGTGACGGGAGATACCAGCAGAATGGGCGAACTGTCGAGCGGCTTATCCGATGTGGAGAAACTGCTGACGAGTGATTATTTCGCAGGTAAATTGCAGATTGGTATACTCGTATAGATATGTATCTGTACAGCTTTTTGTCAGTATGCATTATGTACATAATTAGTCTTCCTGTATTTCTTGTTGCGCCATTATCGCTCATACTTTACAGAGATTTTATATCGCATTCATAATTAAGTTCACTATTTGCGATAAGGAAATCATTCACTGCATTCCAGAAAAATATTTAGTTACACCATTTAATCATTCTTAATTGAATTTACCGGTAATCATTTGTAATCATGTCCGAGTATCTGTACTTTCCATTTCTGCATTATAGTATTGTCGTTATACCAGCCGTCAGCAGTTGGTTCTGCATTTTGCATGCCATTAAGCGCTAATAATTCTTTTTAATTATTTTATTGCAGGAAGCAGATTAGGATTTGTGGACTTGATGATATGGCCGTTCTTCGAGCGTCTACCGTTTATCAGTGATATGCGACAAGCGGGCGTGAATCTGGAGAAGGATCATCCCAAGTTGTTCGCCTGGACGCAGCGGATGCTGTCCGACGTGACAATTCAAGAAGCATCTTTTCCACCAGATATTATGACTAGATTTACTAAGAGCGCCTACATTGACCAAAAACCTGATTATGACATTGGCTTGCAGTAGCCTGTACACCACTAATTGGATAGTGAACTCGTTAGATGTGTATTGTGTGATAAAATTGATTTGCAATTTTACATGCTTTTTCGTTTCTTAAAGTTTATAAAACGAGTTAGAATAAAATTTATTGTCGGTTTTGGACGTTTTCTAAAGAATTTCGTTTTGTATACGGTAACTGTACAATACACAGTGTACTGTGCAGTGCCAAATTTTAGGTACAAGTGGACTTTTGTATTACGTATTAATTTGTACCGGTGACTGTGTGCAAAGTTGCAAACTGCAGTTTTATAATAATATTAGATTTCGAAGGCGACGACATTGTCTTTCCGACTGCATATAAAAAAAAATTGTCAGAAATCCTGAAGTTTGACAAAGTATCGAAGAAAGTATGAGTAAATTGTTTTATGTATTGTAATGATATGTGTTAACCATAAGACTGCTGAATCATTTTATGTTGGAAAATCATTAACGGTAAGAGAAGGTGAGAATAAAAATTGATATTTTCGTCCGTACGTGTTTCACCGACTTCTGCAAAAGTGCCAAGTCACCACCGTCGCTGTAGGAAGCAGCATAGCGCTGACGTCACGCAATGCAGTACGCTGTTTGTTTGAATAAAATTTGAGAGTATGCAAGATTGTGCAAACCTGAGCAAACTTGGATTCTCGTTTATTTGCATTATCATCAGCTGTTGCACCGACAGATTGCTTAAGATTCTCTGATTACTTTCTTTTGGTACGAGTACTGCCGCTGAACGTATTCTGTACCTCGTGAAATATCGGTGATAAAGTGATTTGCGAGTGATATCAGCCAGCTGCAAGGGCCAAACGAGTGCGCATTACGCAGTTTTCCAGGCATACAGCAGCAAACGCACAGCGGAAAACCGTATTCGGGATAAAATCATCCAAGGGTTCTCTGCATTCATATTCTGCCATTTATCCGGTAGATTGCGGTGGTTTCGTCTTATTCTTGGGACATAGAACGCAGATAAAATGCCCGACGCCAAAGGAGAATCCAAATGCTTTTCGGCTGGTAAGATTGTGTGGGGATCTTGAAAGAGCATGTTTCGCTTTCGTCGTCTTGTGGCGAGCTGTGTTTCTTGATTTACGCATGCCGCCATGCGCAAAAGTTTTTCTGCATCTGTTCTGTGACAACATATCTGCCTATACATTTGTTTTTCAGGTTCACAACAGCCCAAGCTGGATGAGAAGCGCATGGCCGTGTTCAGCATGCGCTTGTGTCCGTACGCCGAACGCGTTCGTTTGATTCTCAACAAGAAGAACATACCGTAAGTCATAAGTGATAAATCGGAATAGCAGAATATTCGTACGGTACCTTAGCCAAAATGACAAAACTTCGCCGTGGCTTGATGAACGATGGTCCGTTTAGTTTATTCCGCGATATTCCCGAATGCAACATGTCTTTCGCAGATCAAGCAGACGCTAATGAAAATGCTTGATGGAAAAAGTACTATATAAATATTCGAAAATTTTGATAATTAGTTTCTATGAAGAATTATAGTAAAATGTAAATTCTCGTACAAATAACAAGTTAAACGTTTCGTTCCCTAATTTTTTATGAATTTATTATAAACGATTGATGCGATACATTAGCGGGAGTGATTAGCCGATTGTGAGAGGGTTTGTTAGTTTGTAAAAGTGATTTTCTCAAGTAAAAGTGAAGGTAAAGGTTATGAAAATCATTTTTAATTGATCAGAGAAAACTTTGGATGAAAAAATGACTGAATATGATAATTGATAAATACTGATGCCTAATTCTGATGAATTGCATTTTCCTGATTTGTGATTAAATCACAATTAAAGTTTAATCAATTAATATCATACCTAAAAAATGTTTTGTATAATTGGATATTCACTTCAGTCGCGTGGGAAGATTAATTTCAGGTTTTTTTTAAGATGGGGTACATACTAATTTTCTTGTACACCACTACTCCGTAAACCAAAATTAATTATGTTTTGCATATGAAGCGTGACAAAGAGTGTGAGCTCTTTTGTGGTCTCCATTTCCGGAAACACCGAGAAGTCTTAACCAGAGGGTGGTGCTAACTTTGCAGGCACGACATCATTAACATCAACCTGAAATCCAAACCCGACTGGTTCCTGCAGCGCAATCCCTTGGGCAAAGTGCCGGCCATCGAGGAACCGGGCAAACCGGCGTTGTTTGAGTCACTGATTGTTGCAGAGTATCTGGATGATAAATATCCCGAGAATCGAATTATGCCCACCGATCCGTTTGAGCGCGCCCAGCAGAAAGTCCTCATCGAAGTCATTGCCCAAAAGGTACCGTTAAACGTTGATCGTAATGACGCTAGTTGTGTGTAAACTTTGCATGGGACGACGCGATCATGCTGGTGATGCTGTGCATGGTATATCCGTTTGGAATTGTGTGGAAAATTCAGTTTGTTGTTACAGCTTACAACCGCGTTTTACGGCGTGGTTTTGAAAGGTGGACCGGAAGCCAGTGAAAATCTGTACAAGGGATTGGCTGAGGTGGAGAAGATGCTGAAGGGAAAGTTTTTTGCTGGTGTGTAAGAAATTTCTGATTAAGCAAAAATTTGATTGAATTTTTTATACTTTTATAATTTTGTTTTCGGCATGTATATGCAGTTGCAAAATACGGTGTAATGGTATGTTAGATCACCAGTTTCCACTGCACTACGATATGTGTTGATGATTTTAGGCAGATACAGGACACCATTTTACAGTTAGCCTGAGTTAGGCCGATTTAATATGTCAGCTTTAAAACAAACTTATTTTATGTGCCCAAAATGCATTGATAGCTCTGTTTTGTTTTCCAAATGTTTGTTTGTATACATTTGGTTTAGAAATATGAAAAATGATTTTAGGAGATAAAATGGGCTTTGTGGATTTGATGGTGTGGCCGTGGTTTGAGCGTCTGCCGGCGTTGAAAGAGATGAAAGAACTGGACATTACCAAAGAACGTTTTCCAAAATTAGCCGCCTGGGCGGAGGCCATGTTGAGCGACCCGGTCGTGAAGGAGATCACTTATCCTAAGGAGACATTCCAGGAATTCTTGAAGGGTGCTATGGATAACGGCAATTACGATTGCGATGCCGGGTTGTAAACACAAAAGACTATTTTTTACCACTGATTAACTTTTCCTGGTGTTAAATTTTCTATGATTTTTATTGACGATTTTATATTTATTTTAGAAACTACACATGCTGGATGCATTTTATGAGTCGGTTTGGCAGGTTTTCTCTGTTTTAGATTCCTTTTTAAATTTGTTCCTTTTGTTTACTGAATTTGGTTATAATTGGTAATGGGAAAGGTTTTCAGTAAAAACTGCGTGTGCATTGGGAGTTGGTAGTTGAAACACATCATCACACTTACGAGTTAAGAAACGAAGCCAACATTCAAGCGTGCTTGATACTTGAATCCAATTTAACTCAGAAAATCCACAAATATTTGTGAATAACGACTATTTGTGACTCGTAAGTTATGATGAAACATGGAACATTTGCCGGAAATTTCATTTACGCTGCCTCCGAACTGGTAGATCTAGTCAGTACACAGTAGTAGTACATTGTTAATTAGTTTTGATTCGCAGTTGACTGGCAGTTGAGCAACTTTGTTAACCGTTGCACGGTACTGTGGAAGCTCCCACACCCTCGGTATGCAATATTTTGTTCAGAGTCAGCCTTCAGAGGTATTCACGGCTCACAAGTCAGAGGTTGCCCCCAGTTGTATGCATTATGCCGGTACGTAAAAATCTGTTCAGGATTCAGAAATGTTCATCGCTCAGTTGTGTTCAAACTCGGAGGTTCCACTGTAACTAGAATTATTAAATGATCATGATCCGCTGTAGCAGCAAGTGCCAGATTGCCAGTAACCATCCCAAAAATATCAGCACAATGGCCGTTCAAAGCCTGATCAATTAACGCTCGCGACTGTCGCGTTCCGCGGAGATTTGAGAAGAATGAATTTTTTGGGCGGACCATGATCTGTTTTTTTTTCAAACTGTCCTGATCTTCTGCACTTCCACATCACCAGCGGGAACGCCGCCACGGTAACTGTGAAACAAATCCCACTCATTATTTTGGTGAAACAAACGCAGCTGTCTTGTAAAAATCCTCAAACGGTTTTGATGTACATAGCACTGACTAAGTAATTCTGGTCGGCCGATGAGAGATGACAACGTCCACTATGGAGTGCCGCTAGCCAAACTCCCACCTTGACCAGTCAGGCGAAGCGGAAGTTACGAACGTTGGGAAAGATTATTTGTTTCCAAGATTACAAAAGGTCACCGGCATCCATCGGCAAATTTGTTAGATTGTGTTGCATTGTATTGTATACCATGTACATATGACGTGCTGACCAGACTTTTGAGTACCCGGCATGGTTTTTTCTGCTGATAAACTAAATTACTACCTTAAACCAACAAGCAGAGCGTACACGTGGTAGTCCAACCCGACATACCGGTAACTGTTGTTTGATAAACGATGATCCATTAATTATCGACAGTTGTGCGGCGCGGACGGAATACTATGTACTTATTATAAAATGTACCCATTAATTAAGTAATCGCCTTTGGTGCGAGTATTGCCGTTCTAAACTTGCTGTACCTTTGTGCTCCATCGGTGATGATAAAGTGGTTAATTTTTCAAATGATATCCGCCAGTGGCAAGGTCAGACTGCGCGCTCATTAATTACGCATTTTTTCAGACAATCGACAGCCGCAGCCAGCACAGCAGCTAAAATCAGCCAAGTTTATTCTGAATTTTGCTCGGCAGCTTACGGTAATTGTACTTTCTTCTTGTTACATTGGAAACGTAGGTAAAATGCCGGACGCGAAAGGAGAATCTAAATGCTTTTCTGCTGGTAAGATTTTGTGGATTCTGTGGGCAGTCTTTTTTTTTAGATTTTTTATGCGCGCTAAAAACTTTAGCTTTCTATTTGCGCTTTGGAACCATCTATCCACAAATAATCAAGTTTGATCTGCAGGTTCACAGCAACCCAACCTGGATGAGAAGCGCTTAACTGCGTTTAGCATGCGCTTGTGTCCATACGCTGAACGGGTTCGTTTGATCCTCAACAAGAAGAATATACCGTAAGTGATAAATCGGGACATATGTATGTACGTAGGGTCCGTGATAAACAATGATATGCGGATTTCTGACTGCTTACTTCACTTACTGTTTACGATTGCAGAATGTTAATCATGCTAATGAAAATAAATATCAATCAAAGAGGAAAAGTCATTAAATTTATTTTAAAAGTTGGCATGCGTGTCTGAAATTTGTTCCGCGAAATTTGTAATTCCAGTAGGTCAAATTATCTATCCCCGTGTGAAATAAAATTTGTGTTTCCTAAGAGAATAATTCTTTTGTATTACTGAGCGCAAAATATACATACAGCAAATAATTGATGAACCCTTTCTTCTGATTTGTGCTTATGTACCATTAGGAAATGTTTCCCACGATAACATACGTACATACTTTCAGACTTCAGTATTGAGTTTATTTGTTTTTGATATGCGCATAAAGCGCCTTAAAGTCTTACTGATATGCGCTGCCATTGGGTCGAGCAATTGTGCAAAACAAAAAAGTTTCACCCAGCTAATAAGGTAGTTAACTTTGCAGGCACGATATCGTCAACATCGACCTGAAATCCAAACCCGACTGGTTCCTGCAACACAATCCCTTAGCCAAAGTGCCGGCCATCAAAGAACCGGGTAAACCGGCACTGTTTGAATCGCTCATTTGTGCAGAGTATCTGGATGAAAAATATCCCGAGGCCAGAATTCTGCCTACTGATCCTTTTGAGCGCGCCCAGCAGAAAGTCCTCATCGAAATCATTGCCCAAAAGGTGCCGTTAAATATAGAGCATACGTTGACCTTCATCATATTTACGTAGGGCCTCCGTGCCGATTCTCGGGTGATTTTTGTATAGAGCACATCCGTTTGAGATTTGTTACGAAGGAATCCTTTGGATTCTTATTACAGGTTATCCAACCGTTTTACGCAGTGTTGAAAGGCGGGCCGGAATCCAAGGAAACCTTGTACAATGGATTGGCTGATGTGGAGAAAATGGTTAAGGGAAAGTTTTTTGCTGGTGATTAGAGAACATTTTTTGAATTCTTCGACGTATCAACATTTAACTATTTACTCGAGAATGAAATTTAACGAGTGATGGTTCTCGTGACACGACGTATAGTACAGATGTACAATACTTCCGTATAATACAAATGTACAGACTGTAGAGTAGGTACTGTACTTGTGCTATAATTTAACTGGCCTGCGAATGTGCGATATGTAAATGGCCTTGTGCAGATAAAGCGCAGAATATCTCGTGAGTTTTATTTAATTTACGCAGTACTTCTGTTGAATTTGTGATTTTTGATTATTACTTAAGATTTACTGTACATATGTACTTTTTAAATGATTGCAGGAGATAAAATGGGCTTTGTGGATTTGATGGTGTGGCCGTGGTTTGAGCGTTTGCCGGCGTTGAGCGATATGAAAGAACTGGACATCACCAAAGAACGCTATCCGAAAGTAGCCGCTTGGGCACAGGCCATGTTAAGCGACCCGGTCGCGCAGGAGATCACTTATCCTAAGGAGACATTCCAGGAATTCCTCAAAGGTTTAATGAATAACGGCAATGTGAATTGCGATGTCGGACTATAGAAAGTCTATGCAACCTTTTCTCACTTAACAATCTGTTCCCGGTTTCCAAAATTTGTTCTGCTTTTCTGATGTTGGGCTGCATCAATGAAACTAGTACTGTACCTCACAAGGCTCATATAATTACTTACTAGTATAAAGGTCGTAACCGCCCTTAGTGCAAGCGAGCGAGCGTGTAAATTTTTCTCTTATAAAACCCATAATATGGAAGCGTTAGTCCGTTGCATACCGCTATTGACAAAATTCTGACTTAACCATGCAAAGGCCAACTGAAACTTTATTCAGATTATGTAGGAACACTATATTTAAACGGTAAATACTGTACGTGGAATTATCCAAATCCGCCTATTTGCATACAACATACTCAGTAAAACAACAAAGGAGACTCAGATTTTTTATTAGATTTAAAACAAACAGGCATGATTGTCCTACACAAATTCACCGAAAGGGAAGAAAATAATTCACGAAAACTGAAAAGTACTAAGTTGAAGCGATAGTGCCTATTACATCAGCGGAAATATATCTCAACCGGAAATTCAACATCAGATACAGAGGTGCCTAAATCGATGAGGCAAGTCAACCTAAAGAAAAATCCAATTATTGTTGCCTGGTTTTTCCAAGAAAGACTAAAGCTCTTTTTCGACAAAATTTTGAAGCCACTTTTCAAAGTAAAAGATTTTTGGGGTCGATATGAAGACCAACATAGAGGGTCTTTGCATTTTCATGGCTTTCTTTGGCTGGAGGACGCTCCTTCTGCAAAGTCTATGGACAGCCGATCTGAAGAAGAGCTAAAGCAAGTTGCTACCTACTTTGATAAACTTATAACTGCGGTAAACGACATGAATAGGGTGAGCAAGGATATGCAGATTCATCCGTGCGCACGACCTTTATTAGAAGTGGACAACTCGATGGAGGATTTGTACACAATGCTCACTCTTGTACAGAGGCATACACAGCATGGAAGTCATTGTTTCAAAAAAGAAAAATCCGGAAATCTTATTTGTCGCTTTCGTTTCCCAAGGGAGAATCGAGATGCGGCCGTTGTTATCCGGGACGATAAAGGTTATTGGCAGTTTGAACCAGAGCGGAACGACACACTGATGACTCCCTATAATCCAACAGTTTCACAAAACTGGAGAGCTAACACTGATGTCACCGCAATCCTGAGCATGCGTTTGCTTATGTCATACCTGACGAAGTACGTGACCAAGGCGGCAAAAAGATCGGAAAGCTTCGCCGAGATGCTTGCAAAATTTGTATCCCGTGCAGATGAGCAAGATCCTGCTAGGAAGCCGCTACAGCAGCTGCTAATGGCGACTTTCGGAGAACGCGATGTTTCAGCCCAGGAAGTAGCAGTTCTCGTTATGGGTTGGCGATTAGTGGAATCCAGCAGAACCTTTATCGTTATAAACTTGTACGAAGCTCGCCGTAGTCAGCACTTACGGAAACCGAAACACGCATCCGATGAAACTGTATCCGATCCAAACGTAATATCTCGATACAAAAACCGTCCTGAAGATCTTGAAGCCGTTTCACTAAAGGTGTTTGCCACTGCATTTCAGTATAACAAAAAGACTAATACATATCAGAAAAGAATTCCTGGAAAGGAATACATCGCGCGCGTCATACCCGTTTTACCTGTAGACATAAATTCAGAACTGTATTGTCGTCAGTGGCTTCTTTTGAACGTGCCGTTTAGAGCAGAGGGTGACTGTAAATTGTCGCCTGAAGAAACATACCAAGAAGCTTTTGCCCGCTTGCGTCCGCAAGGTTTGGCTGGAGAAAACATTGAAACAGACTTGGACAAAGACCCAGAAGATGAATTAGAAAGTTTGGAATTACCAGAAAATGAGCAACTCAACTGGATGCAAGCAGCAGCTATGGCGCCGACTGAAATGGTTGATCCGAAATCGGCCACCGAGCTAGGCAGGCGCGAAATCGATCTGGCAGAAGATTGGGGCAAAGCACTACGGGTTTTTCCTCCAGACGTTTGTCCCAAAAATTTCATCGAAGTGGTCAAAGCCGACGGAATATCACAGTTCCGACGAGTTGCTATAAGCTACGACACCTTAAGTACAGAACAGAAACAAGTGGCGGATCTTTTTTCCCATCATTTTACAGCCGTTTCTCAAAAACGAGTTCTACGACCGTTGCGACTGATAGTTAATGGCAATGCAGGTAAATTACGCATTATTATTTAAATTTTACGGCACGTTTGCTTAATCATCATTGCTGCAGGAACGGGAAAGTCATACATCATAAACTGGATCATGGAAGCGACGCAGAAGATGAATACATCCACAAGTCCAAAGGCAGTTCTCTGTGCACCTTCTGGAGTTGCAGCTTTTTTAGTAAACGGCCAAACAATTCATTCGAAATTTCATATACCACCTCGAAAGGGAGGAAAACCAATACGTGATCTTTCAGGAGAAAATTTACGACAATTTCAAGAAGGTTTCGCAAATACTGATTACATAATTATTGACGAATACGGGATGGTGGGTTGTCGACTGTTCGCCATGCTCGATAAACGGTGTCGGGAAGCGAAGCCGTTGAAATGCGCAGAGCCATTTGGCGGAATGTCTGTCATTCTCGTTGGTGATCACGGGCAACTGGGTCCTGTCATGGACCTTCCACTATTTGTGTCAACAAATTACGGCAGTACAAACATGGAAGTTCAGCATGCAATGCGTCTCTACAGAGGCTTCGACCAAGCTGTAATATTGAAAACACCCCAGCGGCAGATTGGACAGGACCACACAGCCGAACGATACAGGCAGTGTCTTTTGAATATGCGCGTTGGTCGAACAACAATAGACGACTGGAAACTTCTTTGCTCTCGGTTCATAGACAACCTTAGTGATGCAGAAAAATCGGAGTTTTTGGACTATCCTCGAATTTATTCGATCAACGATAAGGCTGATGAATACAATTTACGCAAACTTTCGGAGTTAAATGTGCCCGTTGCTCGGATAGAAGCGTCACACAAAGGCCCTAACGCAAAAGCAGCTTCATACGATGATGCAGGTGGACTGGACCCAGTTATTTCTTTGTCTGTAGGTGCTGTAGTTATGCTAAACTGTAATTTGTGGACGGAAGCAGGTTTAGTCAACGGCGCCACGGGAACTTTTTTAGCCCTGTTATACGAAACTGATTTTGCGCCGCCATCGATTCCGCTGGCAGTTCTGGTGAAATTTCCTGGATATCGCGGACCAAGCTTTGGTGGTATCGAAAATTGTGTGCCTGTTCCTCCGGTGGTTCGCAGCTGGGACTCAAGTGACAATAAGCCATGCTCCCGAACACAAATTCCGTTGTCACTGGCGTTTGCGCGAACAATACACAAAACCCAAGGTGCGACTTTAGGAACAGTGAACATATTCCTCGGCGAAAAGGAATTCGCTTGCGGATTAAGCTTTGTCGGATCTTCGCGCGTCAAGCGTTTGACAGACATGGTTTTTGGTGAACCGTTTAATTTTGATCGCTTGCCTCAAATTGCTAAAAGTAAGGCTTTGCAACAACGGGTTGCTGAAGATGCACGACTGATGCAGTTAGGATACTCTGTCCAACGGCTAGAGCTTATCCTAGAAGAACCTCGGAACAAATCTGCACCAGTTACCGGTAAGGTTTTATCTTCCAGGACTATTTAAACTTTCCAAAATATTATTACTGCATATAAATGAATTAAGCTTTCCATCCACTGAGCGTTGTAAGTACACATGGTTTATAGGTTTATAAAAAACGATTTTTGTAGGGTTGCATCAGGATGCCCATATGAAATCCCCAGAAAAATCACCAAGAAACATCAGTGCGGTATCGCAAGGTAATTAGTTACCCTAGGCAGAAGCGTACACACACAAACAAAACAAAAGTTTCATTCCAACTTAATTTTCAGAAAAGTCAAAGAGCAAACGCTCCTTCGCAAACGTTCTCACAACTCCGTTTAAAGAATGTGTGGGAACAAAGTCTCGCAGGCGAAGTAGTCCTCCAAGGCTGTTACTCCCATCTTTTGAGCCAAATTCAAGGCAAGCGCACGAAGGACTTCCAAGGTTGCCGTTACAACATGGAAACCTTCCGCTTTTACGTGGAGCAGGCCAGCAGAATGTCGACCTTGCGGAATCCGAGCTTGCGAGACTGGGACTACGACGCATCCCAGTTGATGGCGACGGAAACTGCTTATTCAGAGCGGTGGCTTACGCAGTATACGGAGATGCAGCAAAATACAGGAAGGTTCGGGATGACGCTGTCCGCATTATGTGTCAAAACGCTGCAGAGCTGCATAATTTTTACGCATATGAAACGGGAGACCGTTTGGAGTCAGGCCACCATCGAGAACCAAGAAGCATCGCGGATGACCTGGACGCTGTGAGACAGCCTGGACAATGGGCATCGCATATTCAGCTTTTTGCCTTATCCCGAGCGTATGAGAGAACAATATTTGTCATCAATGGTCGAGTTACCGAACAAGTAACTGAACCTTTTTCTGGCGAGCCAATTTATTTAATTTACAACGGTCGAGACCATTATTCTGCAACCCGTTTAAACCGCTAAACTCGTTTTCGAATTTCGCCGTCTTTTAGTACTTCAGCTATTTTATCATTAAAGCCAAATTAAAAAATAAGGCGTACTTGAACAATCAAAGGCATGATCAGAATACAACAAAATTGTAATGCGGTATCAGCTGGTCTGAATTACCGGACCCCCCGTATATTACTACGGCGGGTTCGTCAATAATGACCCGGTTATAATTTACGTTACGGTTCCCCAAAACTGCACCAACCGGGGGCCGTTAAAAAAATCCGGACCGGGTCCAAATTTCCGGACCCCCCGTATATTACTACGGCGGGTTCGTCAATAATGACCCGGTTATAATTTGCGTTACGGTTCACCAAAACTGCACCAACTGAGGGCCGTTAAAAAAATCCGGACCGGGTCCAAATTTCCGGACCCCCCGTATATTACTACGGCGGGTTCGTCAATAATGACCCAGTTATAATTTACGTTACGGTTCCCCAAAACTGCACCAACCGGGGGCCGTTAAAAAAATCCGGACCGGGTCCAAATTTCCGGACCCCCGTATACTACTACGGCGGGTTCGTCAATAATGACCCGGTTATAATTTACGTTACGGTTCCCCAAAACTGCACCAACCGGGGGCCGTTAAAAAAATCCGGACCGGGTCCAAATTTCCGGACCCCCGTATATTACTACGGCGGGTTCGTCAATAATGACCCAGTTATAATTTACGTTACGGTTCCCCAAAACTGCACCAACCGGGGGCCGTTAAAAAAATCCGGACCGGGTCCAAATTTCCGGACCCCCCGCATATTACTACGGCGGGTTCGTCAATAATGACCCAGTTATAATTTACGTTACGGTTCCCCAAAACTGCACCAACCGGGGGCCGTTAAAAAAATCCGGACCGGGTCCAAATTCCGGACCCCGTATATTACTACGGCGGGTTCGTCAATAATGACCCGGTTATAATTTACGTTACGGTTCCCCCAAAACTGCACCAACCGGGGCCGTTAAAAAATCCGGACCGGGTCCAAATTTCCGGACCCCGTATATTACTACGGCGGGTTCGTCAATAATGACCCAGTTATAATTTACGTTACGGTTCCCCAAAACTGCACCAACCGGGGCCGTTAAAAAAATCCGGACCGGGTCCAATTTCCGGACCCCGTATATTACTACGGCGGGTTCGTCAATAATGACCCGGTTATAATTTACGTTACGGTTCCCCAAAACTGCACCAACCGGGGGCCGTTAAAAAAATCCGGACCGGGTCCAAATTTCCGGACCCCCCGTATATTACTACGGCGGGTTCGTCAATAATGACCCAGTTATAATTTACGTTACGGTTCCCCAAAACGGCACCAACCGGGGGCCGTTAAAAAAATCCGGACCGGGTCCAAATTTCCGGACCCCCCGTATATCACTACGGCGGGTTCGTCAATAATGACCCGGTTATAATTTACGTTACGGTTTCTTAAAAAAGCCACCACACGGACCGGTCTAAGCGTTTGTACTGGGTCAAAATTTACGGTCGAACACACATTCCCCCATTGGGTCCGTCAATTATAACCCGGTTAGGTCTTTGATTTTAAACTACCTTCTCACTTGCTTCAGCGGGGGGCTGCGCCCCGCATATATTGGGGCTCTGCCCCAAACCCCGGCCAGGGGCTTCGCCCCTGGACCCCGGGAACCCGGTTCGCCGGTTCGCCCCGTTACACACTTTAAATTAAAAACGCTTCGCTCGCTTCGCTCGCTCGCTTGATTATATTATTAGATGTGATAATGATGATTGCACCCGGCTTTGATAAATGAACAACGTATCACAGGTTTCCTCATTTTAATATAACTACGTGTTTTTCACTTTGCATAAATATGACGAGTCAATCTCAGACATTTGTTCATATCTATATAAAATACGTTTATTCGCTATAATTATGAAAGCGTGAAGTTTTCACTATTCACTAAAACATAAAAAAATTGTGTGGCGAAATTTCTTATGCTACAAAATTACCATACAGTAACTGCGCTACGCTAATTGTATTTATGCTTTGAATTCAGCAAACAAAAATAAGATTTATCAAGCATGGGTGTTCCATATTTTCGCCAAAAATACCAGAAAACATGTATTGCAAAATTAATCACGGAGCGTCAAACATTCTCCAACAATTTCGTTGACGCATTCTCTCCAAACTGGCAGGGCCAGGATAATCAATATGGGGTCCGCAATCGACTGACAGTTGAACAATATCGTTAACACTTGCACGACCATCAAATTGTCATAATCCGCTATGGCAGCTAATGCCAAATATCCGATAACCGGTCCCCAGCATATCAGTATACTGGCCGTTAGAATCCCCATCAGAACTCGCGACTGCCGTTCTGTTGAACTGTCAGTCGATTGGATTTTCAAACGAATCGTGATCTGTTTCTTCCAAACCGCCCTGACCTTTTGTTTCCACATCACTAACGGAAACGCCGCGACGATAACCACAAAGCAAATCACATTCAGTATTTCGTTGATGGACAGCGCAGCTGTTTTGTACGAATCCTCGCCCGCCTCGTGGAAAAAGCACTGGCTGATGATGGTCGGCCGGTGGGAGATGACAATGTCAGCTATAGTGGGCGGCACGCCGATGACGTGTGCCGCTAGCCAGATTCCCATTACCACCAGCCAGGCGAAGCGGAAGTTATGAACATTGTGAAAGGTCACCGGCATCCACAGCGCCCAGATGCGGTTAAGGGCGATCGCCGCATGGGTCAGCATCTGGATTGCGGATATGACAGACAGAGCGTACACGTTGATTGTACAACCGGCGATGCCGATAAACAGATTTGGGTGCAGTTCCCGTAATGTGTTGAACGGACCCAGTAATCCGTGAAATGCGATGTTGGATGCGCATAGGCCGATAAAATACGCGTCGAAAGCGGTCCACAGTCGGATACGGAGAGAAATACTCCCAATAAAGCGGCATTGAGAGTGAAGGGAATGACAGAAAAGGTCACGGCTATAACAGCATGGGCAATCACTTCTGTTTCGCTGATATGCACTGCGAATGCCGAAGCATTTTTATCGTGGAAAGTTGAGTTCATGGTCGAATTAAAGTTGGCGGGACAAAAGGAAGAATTGAATAATATACTGTGTGTAAAGCAGAATGCCCGGAAATACCAGTGCTACAACTCAGCCACTTTTCCCTAGAATCCCTACGCCTACAAGTTTACAGCCATGTGTACTTTTAATTTCCCTCTAGGCTTTTACACGAAACATAATCGGTCTCGGAGTCTCAGTGCCACTTCAGTGCTCCCTTGGCGGTACAGGAAGTGTTTATTATCGGCTGGTCTTTCATTGTTTGTTTACCAGTAAATTCACGGAAGGCACGTTTACTAACCACAAGTACTGCTGTAATACGGCAAGTACGGGTAGTTGTACGCACGAACGTGCTGTAGCGACTACTCATTCTGTAGAGTACGTACAATTGTAGTCCTCACTTGTGACATATACTATACAAATGTTAATAATTATGTACCTATTGTATATCAAAAGGACAACCTCCGAATTTTCATTAGCAATTTCCTGTGTTTTCGTCCTGAAAATTCCCTAGATGATCTTTTCCACACGATCTGTGCGAGGTCTGGGAGTACTACTGAACAAAACCGGCACTTTTATGGATATATGGGTGTTTTTTTTCTACATAGTTTCAGTGGGAATTACAGGATGTTGCCTAAACAAAATTACTGAATGAACTGAAGGAGAGTAACTGCACCTCTTCAAACAAGAGTGCGTGCCGTTACTGTTTTGTTTAATGGCCGACCGAAACTCCGAAACTACGCATTGCTTCTGCAAATATAGCAAAATGTGGCGTGCTGAAGATTATCACTCCATATAAGTTCCGTTCCGTCAGCACAAATTGCGATACACCTTGAGGCTTCGGTCCCTTTTCGCGTAATCAAGCTAGTCCTCTGCGAAACATATTTGTGCTATTTTACTGGCTGTTGCAAACAGCATTGTACTCTTCTCGCCTTATGAAAGTACGTATCCTGTGTAAAATGATCGGAAGCCATGAATCCATCTGGAAGCAATACCTACATCAATAATTGTACCAGCTCAAATAACGAAACAACTCTCTCCGACGTTTCTCCTGGTTCGAAAGATGCGATACTTGTTTTTACGCCCTTGTTGTCCTGTTCTGCTTTCATTCTCAATTGTAGCTTATTGATGACCTTCGTTGCAGGGCGAAGTGTGTGGACGCCGTTTGACACATATTTTATTAGTCTCAGTGCAGCCAATGTAATTTTCCACTTGCTACTTGGACCTTTCCATACACTGGTCTTAATTTATCCAGACTTGAATATCGGCATTTTCGGATGCATGGTTTACGTATACCCAGTTGTGGTCGTGGCACTCATTCAGATTCTCGTTCATGGGTTCGTTGCGCTGAACCGTATATTTGCTCTCTGGTTGCCGGTATCCTTTCATCACTTCCATACTTTTCGATCCGCTTGTTTAGCGAACGTGCTCATGTGGATATTGGCGCATGCCGTGGCGCTGCCTGGTGCAGTCATTAATGTCGTGTTTAACAGAAAACCCGTTGCGATTTCTCACTGCTTTGTCGGTGGAGACAAAAATATACCGACTTTAAGATCTGCATTAATCGGTGTCAATGAGATTGTCGGAATAATTTCTTTCTGCGTTATTATGGTAACGTTCCCCCTTATTATCTGCAAACAGAAAGCGAGATCACTGTGGAAAAAGCAGCAGATGATCCAACCGCAATCGCCAGGTGATGCAAGAAGCCGATCCGCTGAACGCCAATCACGCATCTTAATGGCCGCGCTGACCTTTAGCATATTATGCTGCTGGGGTCCAACCATTGTTTATCTGGCATATATTGTCGCATCCGGAAACGCAGATACATTCACGAGAGATATCATAGGCATGTTATTTAATAGTCAAGCCATTGCTGACCCAATTCTGCTCCTGTTTTCTCTTCCGATTTGGAGGCAACGATTCAAGCTCTTATTTTGCAAGTGTTTGTTCTAGTGATGAAGTTTGTGCAATGTGCAGACCATGAGAACCGCATCTCAAGTTCTAAACCATGAGGATTACATTGTAATAATAAAATCTGGTCGTTTTTATTATGAGTAGCACTGACCAATCATAATATCAAGGTTCAAATAACAACTAGGGTGTTAAGTGTTAACTACAACAAGAGAGACAATAAAAATCCATACGTACACAACAACTTCCTTCCGTAACAAAATTAGTTCGGTGTGTTTTGTGTACAAAGTTATTATTCATAAGGCAGCATAGAAAATATCAACACAGAAAAAGCAGTGATTACTGTTATCGACATCCGTCATCTCCTGGACATTTGTAGATTTGTAGTCCACTTCATTAATCGAACGTCAGATTCTCTTAACCGCTGGAATCAACTAAACGCATACCTGGAAGGACAAACAAACAGTACAGAGAAAATCACTATACAGCCAAGTCCACAGTTATCAACTTGCTACGATCCAATACAGATAGCGACTGCTGCTGCCAGAAGTTCAAGCGTCAGCTTGCTTTACGTGCATGACTGACGCATTAAAGTATATTTTATATCTACATTCATGCTGAGCGCGGGTGCATTTTATTATAGCAAATTTCACCCATATACAATAAATATAAAATGGTAAAAGCTAATAATGGGCACCTTTAAGATTTATATCAAGCTGTGACAAGTTTCAGCGCCGCTGGACAACTTACCTTTCTTTAACGCTATCACCGCACAACCGAAAGCGCTCTTCGCCTTTGGCAGTCCGACTCCATGCAGAGTCCATGTGTCCATAGCTTCATCGTAGACCTCAATCGAGCTATTACAGTTACTGGCTGCAGGGTTCGTAGTGTTCTTAGACCACCCCCCGAAAATGTACATCTTGCCGTCCACGAACGCGCTTCCAGGCTGATTACGCCTCTTGATGATATTACCTAAATCAGAAGGATACATTTGTACAGTTTCAGCTGAACCAGACGCCATTTCGGTTTATCTGGGACGGAAGCCGGCTGACAATGAGCGTGGTAAGTGCAGTGCCTAACCGCTGTCACACGGTAATCGCCCAGCTGTTAAAATCCAACCAGCCTAAATTTTTAGGTTGCTCTTAGATAAGTACTTCTGTATTTCTCCGTGGAGAGTGGAGACGCGCTATGCTTTTTAGTTTCGTTAAAACATTTTGTACTACTTGAACGCCGGCAAGGATCTAACCGATTGTCAGCCGTTGCCGTCAGCCTATTTTGTGCTGATGCAGTTCAAAGGAACCTTAGAAGCTGAAAACGCAAAACTAACCTTTCTTCAGCCATTTATTAGCGCTTGGATCGAAGGCTTCTGTGCAGCGCAAACATTCCCTCGGTTCCCCAGCATTTCCACCTAAACAGCGTATACGAAGACATCGTCAACTGTTATTTTTGGTGCGCTTTTGATCTTTTTCGTACCCATCACATAAATCAATTCCTTCGGGCCAACACAAGCAGTGCACCACCGTCGACCGGTGGGCATATCGGCCATTTGACTCCAAGCTTCCACAACTGGATCGTAGCAGAAGACTTTATTGCTAATTCCGGAATGCGACTCTCCTCCGAATAAATACAGCCGATCCTTGAATGCAACCATAGCGACATCCTCCAAGGCAAGCGGTAAGTTGGGCATTAACTGCCAAGAGTTTCTTCGAGGATTGAAGCATTCCACCGAATACAACTTAGACCACTGATGAATCTCATTATAATGACTTCCCCCCACAGCATAAATGCGACCGTTGAGCGCAGCCACACCGTGGCAGGAGCGTCGATGAATCATTGGCGCCACATCCTTCCACTCATTGCTGGTTGCATCGTATCGCCAGACTTCTTGTGTACTGTCCATGTTTGCCCGTTGCATTCCTCCGCATACGAAGATCGAGGTGTCGTCCAATACCGCTACACCGCAGTGTGTGACTGTACCCGGCAGTCGTTTGAGGCAACTTATTGTTGACATCGAGGGACTGAATACAACCACTTCGTCCAGAGGTCGCTCTTTCTTGTCGTCGCCACCAAGACACACAATCAGTTTAGGCAAACCTTAAACAACAAAAAAGCAATTACTCGCAACCGCTGCACACGGTACGATGTTTTTGGAGAGGACTTATAAGAAACGGTCCACTCAATTCCTCAAGCAGAGAAGTACTGCTTTAATGCGTGGTAATGCTGCTTCGGTACAGCAGACGTTCTGTACTGGTAAGAGCAAGAACTTACTATAGGTAGAACTTACTCTCACACTATATAATAGTAAGTACTTGGTAAGAGGTATGAAAACGCGTAATTTCGTGTTAAACCATATGTTTGCTCACTTGAATAACCCAATAAAATGTCCCGTAACAGTAGATTACGGAGATCGCTGGCAGCAGTACCACCTTCTTACCGTACGATTCTCTCGGTCGGCATCGGGACGCTGCTGCTTCCCCTCGTCGACCCGGTAATTCACTGATGTTCCCGGCTCGAATTGACGATTCTGCGCCTGGTGCCATAAGGAAGCCATTCAGAAGAGCCAAGAAATATTCCTCAAGACACTGGGGATCGAGAAAGGTCACTCGAACAAACTGCATAATGTCTGACAAATGCTGCTTTCGTCCAGCGGGATCGTGATCAAACCAACGCTTGACAGCATGAAAAACTTCATCTTCCTTCTCCACGTGCAGAGCATCACATTCGATTAGCTCGGAAATCTACAGTCAGCCGCAACGCAATGATTTTGACACTTGGTTTGATTAAAAACCACTTTTAGCTACAAATCTGATTACAGTACTTTGATCTCTATGTCTATTTGTGGCAGTGCCGGTTCACCTTCTCGGCGTCCACCAATAAAAAATCTACGCTCTGTGAAACGGGAACGAAGTGGCGAAGGACAATGGTTCTAGATTTCTCTGCCAGATCATGATTATTATGCTTTTCCGCCATACAGTGCACCAACAAACAACTGGAGGCATCCAGGTGACGTTCCACAAAATCCCAGCACATTTGGGCCACCGGGGCGATATTCAGGAACAATGCTGCAGTTAGGACGTGCTGGACATTCTCATCGTGAATACTGATTTCCATCGTGTAGGAATAACTTATCAACCTAAAAAAACACATAGGGCTGTTCAAAAATACAGCTGGAATACTTCAGAGTATAGGTACAAACTGATACGACCAATACAGTGCGAGCGCTATGTCACCAGAGGCTGGCGGATTCAGGTATTTTCAAGGAGCCAAATGGCCACCGTTTCTGAAAAACCAACCCATTTTGTTGTGATTATAGGCTCAGAATCTTTTAATTTTCTACAGATACTTATTGCAGTTATTGTTGTAAGATCTGACGAAAATTATTCCGGACATTTTACAAAAATGCTAAAATCCGTCTCTGTATGTCAGAGTGTCGTACATGAGTCAAAAATTCGTGTCAGACACCTACGCAGGAACTTCGCTTTTGCGCTTTCCAGAAAGCGTTTCGAATGTTATATAACATTCTGCACCCAATAATTTGTGTACTGTATATAAATATGCGTGAAAGCCGTTTGTGAGCGCAGAATCCGGTTACGGAGATATGGGTGAAAGCCGTGCAACCAAAACCAAATTCCAAATGCCGTAAACGCAAACAGGTGCATCAAAATCACCCAAAACGCTGCATCAACCAGATGCTGCGCGTCCCAACAGCTCTAGAATTTTTGCTGTCTACCAAAGTTCCAAGTACTCACTCGTTGAGCGTGCGGTGGGGAATGTTCTTTAGCTGGATCTCCGACTGGCACCTCTCTTTCCACTCGGATGTGAACATGGTGCGAAAATAACTGCTGTGTGCGCTGAGGACGACACGATGGCATGGAATGCCAATGGCGCCTTCCTCCAGTCCTTTCAAAATCACATCGCACAGAGTCCCAGTGGATTTCAAATCTGTCAACCCCCGAAGAAATTCCTCATTGACAGTCTGGCGTAAACGGGCATTTCTAGAAGAATCCATGTCAGGTTTTGCGAGGGGCTCAATCAATGCAAATGATGGGCAACTCAATGCACATGAAACGAGGTTATTACGTATGCTAACGTTATCACAAAAAAATTAAAACTAACTGGTAAATTAACTACTTATCAAAAGTAGTTTTGTTTTGATATTTAAAAGATATTCAACTGTACGGGTGTGACGGTGTCCGCTCCAAACTTCCAAACGAATAGAGTTCAATAGACGACGCTATTATCGGAAAAAAAATTAATTTAAGCGACCCGGATGTGCAGTAGTACATACTCGCAATTTCGCCAATTTGGAAGCAGGTAGAACATAGTCAGTCGAAGCTACTCTAGTAAGTAGAAGGAAAACACAAAGTAGGTTATTGTAGTCTCTAATGGTAATCAAGAAAGAGTTTATCATTTACTATTAACGGGAATTTAACCCTGTTGTCATCTACTGGCAATGGCCAATGGTGAACCAGTAAAATTGATTTAAGCTACTGAATCACGGATGATTAATTTCAGTGCAAAGGTTTTGTAGTCATAACTCATAAGCAAGAATACGACCGTATGAGCCACCCGATCAAAACTTGTTGATTTTTTTCGACTATTCCAACCGTTCTACTGTTTTGGCATACTACTGCAATATGTAATAAATTATTTTTACGGGCTGATAAAGTGTGGAGATTGCGTAGAACGGAATATGTATACCGGCATATGCATTATTAAGCATTTAAAGTAGCATTTCCTTACTACGTATTACTTATTGGATTCTCCATCTACTCGTATGTACGCACCACGCAGTGAGTACTAATAAAGGTAAGTTCTAACAATAATAATAATTGTCATACAGTGTAAGTACTAGTAACATTGCACAACCGCAAGACCTCCACCAAGCAAACAAATCGATTGACCAGAAATAACTTTCTTTTTAAGATTAAACACCTTGTACAAGCCTACCTAATGTGTTGAGGATCGGTGTTAGCTGAGCCGTAAAGTACTATATATAGTATAGTATGTGAACGTGTAGTATAGTATGTGAACGTGTTCGGTTGGGGCCCGCGCCGAAGCTCGGACTTGGATTCGGAGTCGGATTACTCAAACTTGGACTTGGATTACTCAAACTTGGACTTGGATTCGGAGTCGGATTACTCAAACTTGAACTTGGATTACTCAAACTTGGACTTGGATTCGGAGTCGGATTACTCAAACTTGGACTTGGATTACTCAAACTTGGACTTGGATTCGGAGTCGGATTACTCAAACTTGGACTTGGATTACTCAAACTTGGATTTGGAGTCGGATTACTCGGATTTCTTATGCTTAACTACGCAAGTTCGTAACATAGATTTCTTTAGGGACGCTGTTCCTCAAGCACGACACTTGCTGTGCGTGTTACACGTCAAGGAAAATCTCAAAAGAGTGCTCGCCAATGATTTTTCTTTCTGTGACGAGGAAGAACGGAAAAAAACTGTTGATGACATTTTTGGTGTTACTTTAACGCGGCAGAATACGTATACCGAAGGGCTGGGTTGATGCAGTTTCCACTCAAGATTTCAATGAGCGGCTTGAATTTTTGAAAACAGTCTGGGAAGAAAGACCTCCTGGGTTTAGTGCCCGGTATTTCACTCCGGAGCGTGAATCCAATTACATCCATAAGGTAATACTGGAAGCACGTCAGCCAGCTGGATTTGGGGACAGACTCTCTCATAACAACACCACTGAGGCGGCCAATTCCATGATAAGACAAAAACTTGAACCGAAAGCGAAAAATGCTCTGACCGATTTGGAAATTATTCGTGAACTCAAGCGCTTATTTCTGCATCACGAGCGTTCAATGGCAGAGAGCATTGTTGGTCGAGGAGAATACCGCCGAAAAAATGTCGACTTAATGACCTGCAGTACATCGTTGCTGTTTCAGAACCGCGCACTCAAAACGTGTTACATGGAGATTTTTGGTATGATCCCAGACACCGATTTATTACAACATCTAAAGCCAGCAACGGCGGATATAGTTGCCATATCGGATTCTGTAAGCGAATTTCCCATCGCTTTCCACGAGTCGAATTTGTCAGAAGATTACCGTTCGCATTGGAACGCTGCACGCATGATTCATCAGCATCGGCGCATTAACAAAAAAGCAGAAACGCGTACTGGCAACACCGTTAGTGTTGATTATGCCATTCAGGGGCCGAAGGAACGCGTGGAGCGGGTAGTCACCTGGAAGTGCGGGCCATGCGAAGTTGGCTGTCGGTGCGATCAATTTCGGTCAAAAGGCATGTGTTGCCATTCACTTGCGGTGGCAGCGGCTGCATACAGTTTGACCGATTATTTGGAAAGTTTCAGCAAGAGAAAGAGACTGTATCGAGCTGTTGTTCGCCCAACTTCGAAAAATGCCGGAAGCAAACCGAAGGGCACTCGTCGTAGGGTGAAGGACCGGAAAGCAGCGGAAGGTGCACTCATCCGCAAAGGGCGAATCGGCCGTAAGGGCATCTTCAGAGTACTCTAACGCTACTTCGCTGAGTACAAGTTGACTGCTGCACTTATTATACATACTTTAGTACGTGGGTATTCTGTCGCTCTGATGAATACAGTTCCTATATTCTCCATTTCCAAATTTCGCTATTACTGAAATAGGAAACAGACAGTGTTGCGATCTCAGACAACTTTTAATAAATTTAACAAACCAAAAATATGTTTCTGATAAATAACTTATTTTTATTGAAGTTCTAACGTTTTCTGGGCAAACAGCATCGTCAGATTCGCGCTTCGCGCGACGTCTCCGACTCTCCATTGACCCAACGAAATGTTTACTATCATTTGCAAACTACCTAACTGACGCACGCACGCCACAATAAAATCAGCAGTAGATTGGTAGCTGGACATTCAAAACTTTCACAATGCAAGCTAGTACGAAAGTATCAAAATAGTCAATTATGCTTTGCTGTTATCCATATTCGTTGCAGTTTGCAGCGAACTATGATACGGGACGCCGATTGCTGTTCAATACTACGTTTTGCAAGGCAGCTCTTGGTATTCTAAAGAGATTTTGATTTAGGTCATGTCTTTCTTTGTAAATAGTAGGCGCATCCAGTTGTAAATTTTGAACTGTAATGTAATAACGTACTCGTAATTGTGGAACAAATCATGTACGACAGAAGAGCTTATAACAAAGTGCATACCGTGTTACTGTCGGCGTCCGTGACTACGCACATAGGCACTGCACGGTGAACACAAAACTGGCCGGATTTTACTTTGGTACGAAATTGACCATAGGTGTAGTTTAGTTCTACACAGGATGAATTTCCGTAGGATTGTTAGTCAGGAAAAACTGAAAAATGTCCACGTTACCTATACGTAGTATCCTTGTTACTGTGAAACTTACTCACTTAACCCATAATTTATCAGCGAAAAGACAGTTAATTACAGTACGGGTTCTGCGAATTTTGTTTAACAAAATGACTACTCTACCAAGTACTAATTTACCAGCTATCGCTTGTTAGTGCAGTACATGATGTGCTAGAAAGCCAAGAAAAAATGAACAGACGCGAGGATCTCTGTAATACAGCCGATTCTGTGAAATGAAGTCACGTGAGAATTTGTGTAAAACAATTACAATATTTCTGGATTTCTGTAATACAGCCATGACTACCGCGTTCGTTTTCGGGATGGATCCTGGAGCGGCCACTTATGAGGAGGGTCTGATGGCGGTGGCCGCCCATGAAAGCATGCAACTGACACCATTTCAACTTGCATCACGCACCGTAGAAAAAACTGTGCGCCGCAGGATTAATATCTGTAACTATTCCAAAATTATGGCACATGAAAAAATCTGTCAGAAACCGGTCGGTTGCATAAAAGCTGGGAAACTATAAAAGTTACGATCAATTCAAAATTATAAAGAAAATTCAAATTAAAACGCCGTGCTCACAGCCAACACCCGTGCGGACCCAAGAAAAGGTCACCCGTGCACACAGTCATACACCCGCGCCCGAACTCCGTGCACACAGCCAACACCAGTGCAAGCACCTGTGCACGCAGCATCGATCTATCAATTCTTATACATCCTGTATAAGCAGCTGTATATTATGTCTCGTATGTATGTAGCGTATTTTTGTGAGCGAGTCTCGTCTCTGCAACTTTAGATATTGCATGTTAATAATGTTAGTGTGCCGCATTATGATTTTTGCTATGTACACTAACAATAAACTTATTTAAACGGTAGTATTCTTTATTAGCTTGAAGCGCGCTCCAGAATTGTACGGCAATCATGTATTCAACCAATTACTTCGCATCGCATTGTAGCGGACAAGCCTCCTTGGGAAACGAGTGTCGGACCCTTCATGCTTTGCGGCGTTAGCGGTGGCGATGGCTTGAAGTTATACGCTGGATACCAATGTTGCGGCTGCCGCACGCCATTTTCCCAACAAGCACCGCAACTCGGACTTATTCTCGTAAGAAGCGAGCCGAATTTTGTTCATGGAAAAACTGCCATATCGCCGCCAAGGGATTGCGCCCACCACCTGCAGATTGGACGTGTGCGACGTCGTCATCTGGAGATTAGCCTGGATAATCATCGATTCGGCGAAGGGATCGTGAAGGAAATTGCCTTGACCGAAGAGCAAAAGAATTTGGTCATGATTTTTATGGAAAGCATTCCATCTGTCGTGCCGTTCCGCACATGAGTCTTCAGGAAATGCAGTGTTTCGTATGCCTTTTGATACGTTGACAGTTGGGAGTATCGTGCACCATAGGTTTCTTGCTTTGTATCAACCATAATTTCTGTCTTCAGTTAATATTTTTTTAAAAATGCCAAAAAATCAGTTAAGTTTAAAATTTAGGAGGGCCAGCGTGTTTTATTATAGCGGCCGTTGCTTAAGCTTGCTTTCAAAATTTCCGCAGCAGATTAATTTACGCGTGCCTTTTCCCCTCATTTGTAGGATGGGTTTTTTGCCGCATAAAACGCCAATAGAAAAGATAAAGGTGAATACGAGTATGTATTATGCTTATTTAGAATTTCTGATTTTCATGTAGGTATAGACCTTGTACAATTACGGTAGCTGGCTCGGTTGGCCACGAAAGAGCGATTGACTCGGTGAACCCTTTAAGCTGGGCGACACCGTTTGCATTCGCTGATCTGGAAATGTTTGGAAAAGTTAAACCGACTCGAGAAAAATTGTAGTAAGACTTCATTACACTCACATGCATATCGAGAATTGTTTACGTGGTCAGGAAGAGCCGTAGCTGTGCCGGGAAAACCAATGCTGCAGCCCCACATGTACAGCGACGTTAAAATGTTGTATTGTAGTCCCTCGCGAGGGTGGCTAAAGGGATTTGGGACGGTACAAAGGACCAAATTTGTGTACAATCTGAGCTTCTGTACAACCTAAGTTTGCCCAGTCTGTACAACTTGAGTTCGCCCAGTCCCGAACACGTTTTTGTA